CAATATCTGTACATCATGTATAATATATATATGTAAATTGTTTACTTCAGCACTATACAGAGAGTTTGTCTTATGTGTATATAATATACATGTAGCCTATATTTATATGTTTTCTGGCACTGGTACGAAATTGGTAAATGTTCATAAAAAATATGATATATGATTTTGCCATCATATGCTATTACATGTATATCATTCTTATAAAAATGTTCTTAGAGAGGCTACATGCATTTCCTGTTATGGTACGCAGGGGCAAATTCTACCATTGCTTGTCACAGACTTGATTAAGTGAATGTTTATTTCTTGAAGTTATCAATCTCTTATGATTACCATTGATGGCTTGTTTTTATGCTGATCTCACAGTAAATCAGTATTTTCATGTAAGAATGAAAATGTTCACATTTTATTGCATGATTCCTGTATGCAAGAAGCTAGAGGTCCAATTCTTACAACATGTGACCCTGTTGAATGAGCTTACTTGAATGTTTCTACATTATTCTATCATTGAAGACAATTCTTAATGGCCATCATGGAACAAGGCATTGAGTCATTTTACTTTGAAATATAAAGATCCACGAACACATGCAATACCTGGAGTTTTTATCATTTCACTTCCTTTGAAATCTTGTCATTCATCATGCATGTTTATGTTATGCAATAGTTGTAAACACGTAACAAACACATTTTTTATTCTATTTTGAGTTAAGGAAAAAATAATGCAATGGCAAAAATGAACAGAATCTGCTCTGTGCAGATTACGGCTGATGATTCAGCGTACACAATGTTCAGACGAAGACTATGTGATTATAGGCTTGAGGAAATTGGAAGGTGTTCTCTGGAATTTATTCCTCTTGTTGTTGAATTGTTTTAGAGATATTTCAGGAGCGAGGTGAATTGTTACAAGAGCTGCTGGTGCTGAATGGCGAAAACAGGTGGGTGATGTTATCTGGTAGGAATCTATGGGGGAGTTATCTGGCTGGAGTTATTTAGAAGGAGGAATAAATTTTATACTGGTGCTTAAAATGATTGAAAGGATATAGATCTGGAACTGTTAAATTGGCAATCAGCCTTTGTATGCAGGGTTTTACATACATATATACAAGTAACCTATATAGTCATCAAAATGTATGAATTTATATACACTGTAAGTTTTAGAATTTATAACGTAATATACTATTGGTACATTTATAGACTGAAACTGTTCATGCTCATAAGTAGGCCTGCTAAAAATAAATTTATTAAAAATATCACATTTAATAATTCATCATTCATGCTAGAGGGAAGTACATAGGTTAGTTTTTTTTATGGTCATGAATGAGGGAAAAGGTTCTTTTTATATTTTTGTAATTTTTCAGTGTGTTTATAAATACAAGCCATTTCTTTTTGGAAACATCCTAAAATGAAATGCTAATACAGTCAAACTTCGTTATCTTGAACCCGATGGGACTGAGAAAATACTTCGAGATATCCGAGGGTTCGAAATCCAGGGTATAATACTTAAGGAATATGCGATTGGGACTTCCCAATCACTTGGATATATCCATGGTATTTGAGATATAGATATTATTATAACAGTAACTTGATCCGAAGAGCCGTATTACATCAAGTTGACAGGCTGGGAGCATCAGATTAAACAAGACGCGAAGTATCAAGTTTGATCTGATGATCTGAGCCTGTCAACAAGACGTGATACGGCTCTTCGGATCAAGTTACTGTTATAATGATAAATTTATTATATACCCCTTCACAACTAGCAAAATATAATAAAAGGAAACTTTTTGGATCAAATACATAACTTTTATCCATTAAACAAACCATTTTGTTTACAAACTTTTTGATATGCGAGAATGAAAACGTCATTTATCTGTGTACTACATCATCAGTTTCAGAGAGGGGTGATATGAATTCAGAAAACCACAGTGTGGTGATCAGGAACGTCTGATCACACTGTCACGTGATTGCTTAAATTCAACAGTAAACTGAGTGACAAACATTTGGGTATATAATAAAGCAGTGTTCTAGATACTGAAGTTCGACTGTATAAGCAGCATGCCTTCTTTTCCAGTTTTCTAAACAAGGTAGTTTATGGAGATAAACTTGCAGTTCATTACATTGTCTTCAGCACTACTATACAGACAGGTCTGAATACACACACTTCATGTCAGACGTGCAAATTTACGCATGTTTTATGGAGCTGTGTGTCAGTGACCTAGATAATAATTCTTCCTCCACCCCCTCTCTGTCATCACAGAGTTGCATAAAAGCCCTAAGGGTCTTATCTTAGCAAGGGGTGAGTGAACTTAGAGGCAATGAGCCATCAAATGATACAACTTTGTAAGCAACATCAATCTTGCACGGCTAGGCCTTCTCATGTCCCTTGTGTTTTTTTTCTAAATTGAAGATGTTTACATTTTAAGAGAATTTGTTCTTTGGATTTACTCCTTGGCTTTGGTTGTCCTGAGCTGAGAAGGATAATTTAGAGGAATATCTTTTTAGTTAATCACTTTTTGTTTTGAAGCTAGCTCCTTTTGGAATTTGAAAATATACCAGTAGAGCGAATTTGGTGTAGGTCAAATTATCGTATGATATCAGACAATGTCTTAGTGTTCAGTATGAAACATATAAAGAACATAACAGACTTATAAACTATATGTAGGTATCAGGATATATCTTGAATTGGGAATCCTCTGTTTTCTCTGTGACAAATGCAAGACTTTACATCCTAAAGAAAAATTGAAATTTGAATTAAACTTGGAACAACATGTATTCTGCTCAGTAGTGTCCTAATGCATTTTTCGAGGTTTGCTGAAAAAGGCAAGGTTATAGATTTAGCATGTTTAGGATTCGGGATCTTCCATATAAATTCTGAAGGTGACACAGATCAAAGTGACAACAGATGAAGCTTCTGAAGCAATTGGGTCTTGATGAAAACTCTCAAGATAAATGTACATGCATGCTAGGAATTTACATTTTTTTAGAAATAGAAAATGCAAATTTGGTATTATAAAGAGAGGTAGTTATATATCAACATGGCAGGAAAGAGGTAATTCCTGACATTGTAGTAGCAAGTGAATTTGAGGCAGTACTTTAAGAGATCTGATATTTTTGTAAAATTGTACTTTTTTTGATAGATGAAGTAGGGGGTACAGTTAATAATTACTTCTGTCAAGAGGATGAAGGAGTAAAATACATTGTACATTAACATTGATGACCTACCATTGTTAAAGTAAGGTTTAAAAAAACATGATTTTTCAATGAATGCTCTTGGAATTCTTTGTACTGTTCCTAATGTGAAGGGTGTTTTTGGGTATGGTTTTTCCTTGATTACAATGAATCCATGCCAAACTTTGTAAGTTTTCTTTGGCATACATGGAATGTGTTATTGTAAAGCCAGTAGTTAACCATGTAGGACTATACTATATGATTATATAGATCTACAGCAATATCTACAGATATTTCAGCAAATCAAAATGTATGGTAGAGTGTCTGCCAATCTTTTTTACTCTATATTTAATAAAAATAGTATTTGATCCTATGATACTAAAAAGATACTGTAATCAGGTACCCTGAAACATGAATTGGGTTATTCTAAGAATTCTATGAATAGAAATCCCAACTGTACCAGATTGTAAGATTAGAATTTACACCTTTAATGCTCACAGGAAGTAGATTGGAATAACCTATTTTCGTTTTGTGTCATTGTTTTTTTTTAGTGATCGCAGTACATGTTACTGAGTGGAATTGTACAGTCACAGTACATATTATTATTTAAATATAAGGTAACTGAAAATTCTATTTCTTGTTGATAATGGAAATATATATATCAGTAAGATTTTTAGTCTAGCAGAGATTGCAGAAAAATCAAGTCATATAATAATAATAACAAGTTGTTTCATTTTAATAGTATTTTTTTTAGGTGTTATTACATTGTCACAATGAAAGATTCTTGCAATAAGTATTAAATCTTTGCTGTACCAGCCTGTATTTGTGAACATATTATAATTATTTGAATTCTAAAAGCATACACCATTAGTGAATGCTACTTGAACTTTAAACACCTTGATGACCATATAGCAATTAATTATTAGCTTTTTATCTTCATACAAAATGAAAGTAGAAAAATGGCACATAGCAAATTTGTATTTGTTAGAGATATGAATAAGATTTTTTTTATATCTTTTAGTTTAATTATCACCTATGTATTGAATTGTCATAATTTTCATGAAAATATATATTACACAGGTGTACATGGTACATATTTGTGCAGTGGAAACTTTTTTGACCCAGTAAAGGCTGATGATTTTGCATTACCATACTTGGAATTTCCAATGGCCTATTCATAATCACACTATAAAAAGTTTCAGTAATGATTTTTTCGCATGACAAGGACATTTAATACTTGTATTATTTTTGGCTGCCAAGCACATATATGCTTCAGATGATATGCAGTTTCTTTTCTGAAGAACAGTGACTGAAATTATCCTAATATTAATGGCTTTTCTTTTTTTTTAGGGTCTGCATACATGGGCCCATTTTCTGTTCTCATGTTGTGGGTCTTACTAAGTTTAAGAAATAAAATCTAAATGACTTAATGTAACAATATATGGGTGAATAGGTCAGTTAAATATAAGTTTAAAATGTCTCCTCTCTCAAGACATTTCTGGTTAGTTCTTCAGAATCAAGTGGTTTGGCCTCTGGCCAGGTGTTACAGGTAATATGTTTCCAAAGCTGATGAGAAGTGACACACTCCCTATGGTTGTTGTTGGTGTAGGCGGTTTGTTTAGTATTTTGTTTTCCTTGTGTCATCCGAGCTGATTGCTATAATAAGTGCAGAAGTTTACAAGTGTGGTTTCCTTTTTTATTGCCTTGGGATATTTATTTTTTCTATTTCTGTGGAGGATTTTTTTTTTTTTTTTGCATTGAATGAGGAAGAGACAGTCCCCAAGAATTAATGGCAGATTATTCATTGTGTGATTTTTATAGGATTATCATGTCCCGGCAATTGTTTTATTCAAGTAATTAGCTAATGTAGTACGTGACTTGACATTGACAGAGTTCTTCGTAGATGTGTATATGCTTCATTGGAGGTTGCTGCCAGTGCTATATTTATAACTCTCGTTTCTCTGCAGACAGCAGGTACATTTAACTCTTACATGTATGTATTTTAATGATAACATTTTAGGAGGGAGTCTAATTCTGGTCTATTTGTCCATAACTTCAAATGAATTACCTATCCGACTAAAATTATCTCCAGCATATGACTGTATGTACTGTTGCTATAACATAACTTTTGTTTTATACCAGAAAAGATTTCATAATTGGCATTTAATTGTTATGTCATTGTGAATAAGGTATTGAGAACTACCGAGCCAATGGACCAATGTAATTTTATCAAAGGTTTGTAAGGAAGATATCACAATTAGGGGACATAACTTCACCAAGCACCTTAATTTTCAAACTTGCATATATAGTTGAAATGCAGTATCTTGAACACTGATATCTCAAATACCATGGGTATTTGTCAAAGTGATTTGGAAGTCCGAAACACTTATACTTTAAGTATTTTACCCACGATATGTTGAATCCTTAGATATCTCAAACTTTTTTCTTGGTTCCATTGAGTTCGAGTTTTGACAGTATATACTTTCTTCTTTCATTTCTTTAGTATTTGACTAGTGTCTAGTGTATATACTTTCTTCTATCATTTCTTTAGTATTTGACTAGTGTACATATACTTTCTTCTATCATTTTTTTAGTATTTGACTAGTGTACTAGTGTACATATACTTTCTTCTATCATTTCTTTAGTATTTGACTAGACAGTGTACTAGTGTATATACTTTCTTCTATCATTTCTTTAGTATATTTGACTAGTGTACTAGTGTATATACTTTCTTCTATCATTTCTTTAGTATTTGACTAGTGTACTAGTGTATATACTTTCTTCTATCATTTCTTTAGTATTAGACTAGTGTACTAGTGTATATACTTTCTTCTATCATTTCTTTAGTATTTGACATAACTGTTTTACAGATTTTTCAGAATTAGCAAACATATAAAAGAGTATATACATATATATTATATGTACTTTAAATTAGTATATATGCATACAGGACATGATGTTTTTTCAATATTTTCAGGCTGTGAAAACGTGTATCTTCCCGGTCCTTGTATATAGTGTGTGAGTGTGTGTTTGTGTGTGCGAAACCAATCAAAAATGGAATTGGATTATTATGTCATCCTTGAAATCACCAAACACGCCACAGAAGCAGATGTTAAAAAAGCGTAAGTACATTTCTACCTGTTTTCAAGAGGGGGTAAGGGTGTAATTCCTTTCAAATAACTAGAAAACCATGAAGTCTTAATATCAAATTTTATGTGTAATGGTTACTTTTAAGGGTGTACATGTATATTCTTATTGGTAACAATTAGGCTTGTTACTTGTAATGTTTGAAATTCAATAGGTTCATTTTTAATGGAGTCTGCTAGCATTATAAGTTTATGTGCAGGTACTTGTAGTTTTAGTTATTTCCTGTTGATGAAGTCAGAGTGCTTACACAATCCTACATTATTAGCTCACCTGAGCCGAAGGCTCAAGTGAGCTTTTCTGATCAAAATTTGTCCGTTGTCTGTCGCCGTTGTCAGCGGCGGCGGCGTTGTTGTCGTTGTAAACTTTTCACAATTTCATCTTCTTCTCCAGAACTACTGGGCCAATTTCAACCAAACTTGGCACAGAGTATCCTTGGGTGAAGGGGATTCAAGTTTGTTCAAATGAAGGGCCACGCCTTCTTCCAAGGGGAGATAATCATGAATTCATGAAAAATTAATGGCATCATTTAAAAATCTTCTTCTTAAGAACCACTGTGCTTGAAAATATGAAACTTATGTAGAAGCATCCTCAGGTAGTGTAGATTCAAGTTTGTTCAAATCATGACCCCCGGGGGTAGGGTGGGGCCACAATGGGTGATCAAAGTGTTACATAGGAATATATAGGAAAACTCTTTAAAAATCTTCTTCTCAAGAACAGCAAAGCCATGATTGGTCATATTTATATGGAAGCATCCTCAGATAGTGTAGATTCAAGTTTGTTCAAATCATGACCCCCGGGGGTAGGGTGGGGCCACAATGAGCAATCAAAGTTTTACATAGGAATATATAGCAAAACTTTAAAAATCTTCTTCTCAAGAACAGCAAAGCCATGATTGGTCATATTTATACGGAAGCATCCTCAGATAGTGTAGATTCAAGTTTGTTCAAATCATGACCCCCGGGGGTTGGGTGGGGCCACAATGGGCGATCAAAGTTTTACATAGGAATATATAGGAAAAATCTTTAAAAATCTTCTTCTCAAGAACAGCAAAGCCATGATTGGTTATATTTATGCAGTAGCATCCTCAGTAGTGTAGATTCAAGTTTGTTCCAATCATGACCCCCGGGGGTAGGGTGGGGCCACAATGGGCAATCAAAGTTTTACATAGGAATATGTAGGAAAATTCTTTAAAAATCTTCTTCTCAAGAACAACAAAGCCATGAATGGTTATATTTATATGGAAGCATCCTCAGGTAGTGTAGATTCAAGTTTGTTCACATCATGACCCCCGGGGGTAGGGTGGGGCCACAATGGGCGATCCAAGTTTTAAATAAGAATACGTAGGAAAAATCTGTAAAAATCTTGTTCACAAGAACAACAAAGCCATGATTGGTCATATTTACATGGAAGCATCCTCAAGTAGTGCAGGTTCAAGTTTGTTCCAATCATCAACCCCGAGGGTAAGGTGGAGCCACAATGGGTGATTAAAGTTTTACATAAAATACATAGGAAAAATTTGTAAAAATCTTTTTCTCAAAAACAGCAAAGCCATGATTGTTTTTTTTTATGGGTGCATCCTCAGGTAGTGTAGATTCAAGTTTGTTTAAATCATGACCCCCCAGGGGTAGGGTGGGGCCACAATGGGCGATCAAAATTTTACATAGGAATACATAGGAAAAAGCAAGCCTTTTAAAATCTTCTTCTGAAGAACAGCAAAGCAATAATTAGTCATATTTAAATGCAAGCATCCTCAGGTAATGTAGATTCAAATTTTGTTCAAATCATGACCCCCAGGAGAATAGAGGGGCCATAACAAGGGATCATAGTTATACAAAGGAATACAAATGAAATATCAATAAAAATTGTCTTCCTAAGAACAGCATAGTCATTATTTGTCATATTAATTCAAAAGCATCCCTTTGAAGTATAGATTCAAGTTCAAATTAACCCCCCCCCCCCTCGAACCACATCAAAACTTTTCAAGACTGAACTGATTTCTGCTTTTTCCTAGCCAGAGTGCTCAGGTGAGCGATGTGGCCCTTGGGCCTCTTGTTTACTATGAAGAAGGATGAAGTTCATTAAACCTAACTTTTCCTGCATAAAGAGTTAAACTTATTGAATACTTGTACAATAAGTAGTAACCATGGAAAGTCACATACATCTTATAAAACATGTTTTGTAAATAAATGATTGCTAGCTTACAGATGATACAACAATCTATTAATTTGATAGGACCTGGAACACTTGTACCTAACTGATACTCGGTCCATTTGTACTGGTATGAACTCTGACCTATTTTTTGCTGTTAGGGATCAAATTAGGACACACCCTGACACCATTCTTAGTTGACAATTATGATTAGGTCACGCACTGCCACTTTTTGTGTCAGATGTAAACATATTCAACAGAATTCTGATTTATGATTATAATTATTGTATGTACATGGCTAAATGAAATACCTACTTTAATTAATTAAGGTTATGGAAGGTGTCATCTGATTAATTACAGTAAAAAAAAAAAGGAGTTCAAGTGTATCAGGTGTATTAGCAGCAGTAATTATACATTGATCTTGTCTGATTTTATTGATGTATATATAAAATGCACTCTTTGAAGGGGAAATATCTCTGGTCAAGCACTTGTAAAAACCAATATGCAGAAGCTATTAATGAGGAAGAAACTAAAAATCAAATACTAATGTTGGATAATTTACTTGACCAAATATATGATGATAACACATATGATTCAAATGATCTTGTTTATAAACTATCAAGTATTATAATTAATGCAGCTAATAAAAGTGTTCCATTTAAACCTGCAAAATTTACAAAATCACAACGAAAAAATAAACAAAGACCAAAATGGATGACTACAGATTGCTTACTCCTACGAAAAGAAGTTAGAAATTTAGGGAAGAAAGTACACAAATATCCAAACAACTGTGAACTAAAACATGCCTTTGCAAAATGTAGAAAAGATTATAATAAACTAAGAAAAAGTCTTAAATCTAATTTTTACAATAGTATTGCAGAACAAATTAACACACTTTCGCCACAAAACTCCAGTAAATTTTGGAATAAGATAAAATTATTTAGAAAATAAATCAAAGAAAACTAATGCAGAAACAATTGGAATTTCAGAATTCGTTGACCACTACAAATCCTTACTGAACATTCAATATACTGATGAAGAGAGCTTGAAATACAAGTACACTGAACTAAATACTGAACCAAATCCATTAGACTTTTTGTTTGCTCAAGATGAAATAGAACAAAGCATTTTAAAGCTGAAAAATGGTAAAAGTGCTGGGCCTGACTTAATTTTAAATGAGTTTATTAAAACAAACAATACTACCCTTTTACCTGTCCTTACAAAACTGTTTAATATTCTACTTAAAAATGGAAAAATGCCCAAAGAATGGAACCTTTCACTTATAACATCATTATACAAAAATGGTGATCCTAATAATACAAACAATTATAGGGGTCTCAGTGTTACAAGTTGTTTAGGAAAACTTTTTACAGGCCTTCTACAGAAACGCTTAGATAATTAACTTGAGTCAAATAACCTATTAAGTCAATATCAATCTGGATTTAGAAAAGGTCATAGGACCACTGACAATATATTTGTACTATAAACACTTGTAAACAAATATCTTTATACAAAGAAACAGAATTTATATGTGTGCTTTGTAGATTTTTCAAAAGCATTTGATACTGTGTGGAGATCTGCACTTTTATACAAATTGAATAAAAAGGGTATTGGTGGTAACTTTCTCAAACTTTTGACAGACATGTATACAAATACATACTATTCTTGTAAAAAGGACAATCAAATGAGTGAAAAATTTAAAGCCAATAGAGGAGTCAAACAAGGTGATAATTTAAGTCCAACACTTTTCAATATCTTTGTTGATGATTTTGTGAATTATCTTAAAAATGTAAGCACATATCTAGATACTATGCCAATAAATCATATGTTTTTGCTGATGATCTTGTCCTTGTATCAGAATCAGAAGTTGGTCTACAAAACTGTATAGATGTTTTAGGAAAATATTGTTCAGACTGGAAATTGTGTGTTAATATGGATAAAACAGATGTTATGATTTTTTCAAGAAAAACAGATGATGAAACATCATTTAGATTTTATTACAATCACCAAATGATTAACATAACGAATGAATATAAATATTTGGGTGTTGTGTTCAGATCTGATGGAAAAATGTAATTTGCAGCTGAACAACTATCAGAACGTGCTAGGAAAGCATATTATGCTATTAAATCAAATTTTCCTGCAAACATTAATTTTTCAGCTGAAATTATGTTAAAATTATACCAGTCAATGATAATACCAATTATTACATATGGATCTGAAGTATGGATAACTGACTTCAAATGTGATTTAATGTCTTCAGACTAATTTCCTTTTGAAAAAACACAACACTTAATATTTAAAGACATACTAGGGGTACATAGAAAGGCATCAAATCTTGCTGTTTTATGTGAATTGGGTCGTTTTCCTTTGTACTATTTATGTTATGAATATATGTTTAAATATTTTAAGAGACTTAAGGAAATGGAAAACAAACATGATTATAATAATTATTTAGTGATTTCTGCATTTAAAGAAGACAAAAAACTTGTATCTAGAATATCTTGGCAAAGAAAACTGTCTTCATTACTACAAAAATTAAATATCACTTCTTTGGATATTTCTCACACAACCTTGAAAAACAAATTACAAGAGCATTACCAAAACAAGATACATGAACAACTGAAAAATATAAGCAAATCAAACTCTGGAAAGTTAGCTTTTTATAGTAAAATTGTAATTCAAAATGAATACAAATTGCAAAGTTATTTAAAGCTGCCAGGGTTTAAAGAAAAGTTTTAGATCTGTATTAACAAAATTAAGGATCAGTGCCCATCCATTGTATATTGAAACGGGCAGATACTGTAAACCCCCTATTCCTAGAGAAAAACGTTTATGCTTAATGATTCATGTAAATTATTTATTGAAGATGAAAAACATTTTGTTCTATACTGTTCAAAGTATGACCAATTTAGATGCAATTATACTGATATATTTAATGTAAACACATATACTAGTGATAATCCCATTAGAAAAATTGTCAATCCTACAAATATTACAACTGCTAGAAGGATATGTTGTTTTTTGAAAAAGTGCTTTGACACCAGAAAAGAAAGTCAGCAATGAATACTTAGAAATATGTGAATATACTCTACATTATTTTGTTCAACTCACATTTTTCATTTTGTATATGTATGTATTATTCTTGTTAATTCGTTTTATGTCATGACTGTATGCCGACATGGTAATTGTCAATAAAGTGAATTGAATTGAATATTAATATTTAAATTTGTTAAAATTATTAAGCTTTTAAATGGGTATAATCTTTGAAATGCAAATTCATTCAGATTTGAATTTAATTTGGAGTTTTCATTAAACATTGTTTAAGAGTTAATTGAAGATATGACCTGATACTTTTCACTCAAGAATGTTTCATGAAAAATGTGAGTCAAAAATACGCCTTCATGAAAAATAATAATGCCAGACTCGTTTAAAATTGACAAATAGTTTATGGCTTATTAGAGTTCTTGTATATTAATTAACTTGAAATAGAGCCATTTGACTGCAATATATTATCCCCAACATTTGTTACAAGTTCTAGAGGATATGAGCTTAAGATTTCTTTCAAAGGAATCAGATTTTGTGTAAATATTTTTGTTTTTCTTGTTTCGGTGAAGCATTTGTCAGTGAGTATATTTTTTGCCCCACCATGAATATGGCTGGGGCATATTTAGTGTTTGTCATGTCCGTCTTCCATCCTTCCGGCTGTCCATCCATTACATTTTGCATTTAGCTCAGTTTCAAAGAAACTTTTCAAGATATTTTTATCCAATTTTATATGCTGATGCATATTGGTGAGGGCTATTCAACTGCATCTTTTTTTAAGCCTGACCTTCCTTATGACCTTGAACTTGCTATTTGTTTTAGCATTTAGCTCAGTTTCAAAGAAATGTTTCAAGATAATTTTATCTTAACACATAAACTGATACATATTGGTGAGGATTATTCAACTGTGTCCAAAATGTATGACCTTGACCTTACTTTTCTTTATCAAAGAAACTATTACATATTTTAATCTAAACACATGCACTGATAAATATTGGTGAGAACTTACCACTTGTGTCCAATTTTTTTTTCACCTTGACCTTCCCTATGACCTTTGACTTTACTTTTTATTAGCTCACCTGAGCTGAAAGCTCAAGTGAGCTTTTCTGATCAAAATTTGTCTGTTGTCTCTGTCCTTGTTGTTGTTAACTTTTTACATTTTCATTTTCTCCAGATCCACTGGACCAATATTACTCAGACTTGCCACAAAGCATCCTTGGTTAAAGGGGATTCATTTTTTTTTCAAATGAAGGGCCATGCCCTCTTTCAAGGGGAGATAATTAAGAATTGCTGAAAATTAAATGGCATCTTTCAAATACCTTCTTCTCAAAATCCACTGGGCCAGAAATGTTGAAACATGTGTGAAAGCTCATTTACATATAGTGTAGATTTAAATTTGTTCAAATCATGACCCCCAGGGGTAGGGTGGGGCCTTATTAGGGGATCAAAGTTCTACATAGGAACATAAAGGATATATCCTTAAAAATCTTCTAAAGAACACCAAAGCCATGATAAGTCATATTTATACAAAAGAACCCTTATGTAATGTAGATTCAAGTTTGTTCAAATCATGACCTCTGAGGGTAGGGTGGAGCAATAACAGGGGTTCAAACTTATATATAGGAATATATTGGAAATATCTTAAAAAAAAAAAAATCATCTTCTCAAGAACAGCAAAGCCATGATTAGTAATATTAATACGGAAGCATTCTCAGGTAATGTAGATTCAAATTTGTTCAAATCGTGACTCCTAGGGTTAGAACAGGGCCACATCAGGCAATCAAAGTTTTATATTGTAATATATAGGAATTTTTTTTTTTAGAAATCTTCTTCTCAAGAACAGGAAGGCCATGGTTAGTCATTTTATTAATAATATGGCAGCAAGATTTTTCAAATCAAGAGTTATGGTTAGGGTTGGACCACTTTTATACTTAAACTTTTTAGTACTGAACTGATTATAGATCATTTCTAACCAAAGTCACAGTAAAGTTGAGCAATGTGGCGTATAGGCCTCTTCTTGTGCTTAAAAAATTAGGTTTAAAGAAACTATTCAAGATATTTTCTTCAAACTTCATACACTAGTATAAGTTGGTGAGAGCTATTCAACTGCACCATAATTTTCTGACCTTAATCTTCACTGTGACCTTGACCTCACTACCTTAGTAATTTCAAGGTACATTTCTTTTCATGTTGCATCACTAATGATCCCTGGGTGAGGCATATCCATGACCTATGGACATATTTTTAGTTTTTCTGACTCTGAAATGTTAAGAAATATTACCAAATGTTACAAATTTTTGTTAAACAACTGATATGATTTATAAGACCTAACTTTGCCAACAGATTGTTGTAGTGTGTAAATCTAGCCAGTATTTTCTGCCAAAATCTCTTGATAATAAAAATAAATATACAAATTGTATCAGTAATACAAGTGGTTTAATCTTATTTTGATAACTCTTACACTATGTAGATACAGTCAAAGATTAATATTTACTCAGAGGATGCATCAATCAATATGCTGAAAATATTACATGTATACATAACTTTTTGACTATTATTTTTCAATTAGCTTTCTGGGGAAAATGTAATTTAACACAGCAATATATATATGTGTCATCACATATGAAAATTATGAGTTGACAGAGTTTATTATTCCTAGCTTTTGATGATGTGGAAATTTTTATATACTGTAACAGCATAACAGCTATTCTTCTAATAAAACATACAGTTGTATCATTTTCTTATTAATTAATATTGATTTGGATGATGGGAAATGTGATTTGTGCAATGTGAAAAGATAAACAGTATAAAAAGTTTCAATATTGTTTGCTCAAGCATTGCAAAAAATTTTCGTCAGCTTTGGCATGCCAAACTTCAAGAATAAAATACAGTTGGATTGGGGAGTGACCTCCCTTTAGATGAATTAAACCAGCTTCTGTATTCCTTCTATTCATTTTTTACCTCTCATTCTTAAATTTTTATAAATGATTCACAGAATATTATGCCTTTACAATGCTTGTGCAACTTCAGGTTATAACAGCTGTTCTATCTCTCCATTTTTTAAATTTCCTTTATAGCTAAGTGTTAACGATTTTACCCTCTTGACTTTGAGTCATTACAGGAGAGTTCCTTAGAGTGTTTCTCTCCTGAAACAGAAAAGAGAGACTGAATAATTGATTCCAATGACGAAAATCATAAAAAGGATTGGCAGATAAAAACGTAGTAAACTTTATACAAATAGCCCTGTAGTAGTGACTCAGAGATTTTCAAATTAATGACCAGAAAAAGTCAGTAAGTCATTCTCCTGGTTATGTTAGTGCAGAGTTTACATATAAACACATCTGGTCTATATATCTATAGCCTGAATCACTTCCAATTAGTGTGGTTGTGATCTTCATGAACTTACAGAAAAGGATTTCAGAAAATACCTTGGTGAAATAATATTCATCTTGTAGTTAACTGATCTCATAAATACAGGCCACTGACGTTATATACAGACAGCAATATGTTGGATACTGTGGTAGCTAGTTTAAATGTAAAAGTATCACATTTTTTTGTCTCAGATAATTAGAATGGAGAGGAAGTGAGATGGGGTTACATTGAAATCAATGTGAATTAATTACAATAATGTCTATTAGCTTTTGCAAAAATCAGCAGGGTATATGTGCTGGAGGAGGAAATAGATATAAACACTGAATTTTTTTTTCTCAATTCTCTGGATTCTTACCACAATATCTTAGTTCTGTATTTGCATTATTTTACATAATTAGAACATGGACTTCCATGTATAGCCAACAGCTGTGGTTCATCTGAAATGTTGAACATAGAAAAATGTCAAATGATATGCATTTACTGTGAATTAACAGTGAGATTGGAAGGTTTTTGCTTTGACTCAGTATCCATGAGCTTTAGGCATATAAATCCTTAAATTGACATGCTCCAGAATTTGTTAGAACATTTAGTAAAATTTATTTGAGAACAGGTAAAATACAGATTTTTTAATGAAATCAGAAAAAAATCTTTATAAATCTAGTTGCAAAGGGAAATCACTTTTTTCTGAAGAAAATAATCATTGCATGCAGAATAGTCACAACTTTTTTTTCCATTACAGCTACAGAAAGCTTGCCTTGAAATGGCATCCAGATAAGAATCCAGACAACAAAGAAGAGGCTGAGAAAAGGTTCAAAGAGATCTCCGAGGCTTATGAAGTCTTGTCGGACAGTAAGATTTCGGATTAATTTTATGTCCTTTTCATGGTCTAAAAATCGGGCCAACTTTTCATGAGGCTAAATTAAAGTGTAAGCTACCTTCTCCTAAAGACTTTCTAAAGTCTTTACCACTTAAAACTCTTTGCATCAAAACAGTTATGGGTAAGAATAAATATTTCAGTAGCAAACAAGAATACCTGTAAACTGTGTTATATTTTGGGGAGGAATCCTGGTTTTACATATTTTAAGTACTAGCTGTCTTGAGCACCCCTGGGCACTTCAAAAATTGCAAAAAGGCAACAGTTATTTGGTAGCATGTTGAAATTAAATGAACTGATTGTGTCAAAAGTTAATTCAAGTTTATGCTCTAACCCTATCCATCAAAATTTTTGCTGGTAAAATAAATTGTTCAAGATTTCCTTTTTATCCTTCTCTCACACAGATTAATGGCATGGTGAGTTTTATTGAACTTGTTCCAATTTTCAATCAGTTGTGCATAAAGATCTAATGGATTTACAAAACTCTGGTAAGACCATAAGTTAATAAAGGGAGGCCCTTATTCTCAGACAATCAGAAAATACTCCAGGGGATCCTTGTATTAGGGTTAGGTGCACTTAATAGGGAGACTACAGTGTTTTGATACACATATAAAAATGTGTTCACATTTCCAGAGGAACAGAGGGCCATCTATGACAAATACGGCAAGGAAGGACTGAGCGGTGGAGGGGGTGTACAGGATGACTTCACCTTTAATGGACCCTTCCATCATTTCCATCCTTTCCACTTTAGAGACCCAGAGGATGTGTTCAAAGATTTCTTTGGAGGAAGAGATCCTTTTGCTTCATTTTTTGGTATAATTACTGGGGAAAAAAACTATTTTGAGAGCAATTCAAAAGCTATATAAACTAGTACAATGTCTACAACATATGTTTCTGTTTCATTATTGTTAATATAAAGGTAATGGAGATGAGGGAAAATATGTATGTGTGTTTATAGTCAATAGTGTTTCTTTTCATTCAATACAAAAATTAGCATTACAAGCTTTGAATTCAAGGTAAGTAAATAACTGTTGCATGCTAGGGGTTCCCTGTGACATGTTGAATGTACTTGAAATGTTTATCAAATCATTTTTCAAAATTTGCATGTTTTTTTTTTGAATATCTGAAGAAGAGGGGTTGAGGGAAGGGTACAGATTTGTACGACCCTTTCTTTTTTTTCTACTGCTGTTTTGTCACTTGTTTAGTACCAGTTGTTAACAGCTATATTTCCACTTTTAGGTCGAGACAATCCCAATAACTTCCACGACTCTTTTCCAGGCTTTACACGACCCTCCATGAACCTATTTGGACATTCTAATTTTTTCGGAGATAGCGGGTAAGTAAGGGGAGGGCAATTTTGTTTTTTCTTGGCCTGATCAGTTGTTAATTTTTGTCTGCATCATGACTGACCACCATTCCAATGATTCACCTGTTCAGAAATGCATTTTTGGAAATTGAGAGACGTGAAATCAGTGCATGACAGAGTTGTGTTGTAGTTTTATTGTGAAAATTCACAATATTACATATTAGATTGGGGGGGGGGGTATATATTTAAATGAGCTCTGTCTGTGCAAAATCTAAAATTATGAAAATGTTTAATGCACTAAGACTGCGGAACATTAACTGGCAAAATTGGAAATATGCAGCTTAAGTCATTTCCATCTGTTACAATCAAAACATTTAATGATAGTCATTGGAATGGGCGGGTACAATACGGCATGGATGTCCAAGAAAACATTGGATTGAATGGGGGGAGGGGAGCTGTACGTTCTTGGAAATAAAAAAGGTTTTTTTAGTTTGGACAACCCCTCCCTGTTTTTAATTGTCAAACATTTTTCAGTGAAAACAAAAAGAAAATAGCTCTTGTCATCTTAGAAGTAAATATATTTTGTCATGTGAAGGCATGATCTGACTCGACAATTTTTGACCCCCCCCCCCCTTCTAGAATCAAATGGCCGTCCCCTGAAAGAATAATCTCTGTCTTCTATGACGTCTATGTGTCCTTAAAATTACAATGTATAGGCTAAAAACTCATATAAATTTGAATTTCAAACATGTATTTGGAAATTGAAATTATTTGTCTTTTGGATCATACATTCACACTTTGCATTTGAAAACAGCTCAGGTGGATTGAAAATGAATTTCAAACTAGAATTTCAATTCAGTGTTTTCTCGGACGTCCGTGTCAAATTTTACCCACCCATTTCATTGTTTATCATTAAATGTTTTGACTGTAATGGATGGAAATGACGTAAGCTGCATATTTCCAATTTTGCCAGTTAATGTTTTGCCGTCTTAAGTTGAAAATTTAATTTTAATTGTTCTGCTTACAAGATTATCTCCATATTGATAGAACAGGTTCATGTACCTCATGTTCTAATAGTATTTTGAAACCAAGAAAAAAATTGTGTAGGACCTAGTTCCTATAAATTTAGCAGGTACAGATATAATACATTTAATATGATTAAAATAACATTTCACTTCAGGGTAGGCAATAACTTGTTTTTTTGTATCACCTGCATAGAATGACATACACCTGAGGATCACTTTGTCTGTTATCTGTCCTGTCTGAAAGGAGTAACACCCGTCCCAGTACACTGTCTATTACAGGCAACACATGCGTTCCCCAAACACACTTGTTTATCTTCCTACTAACTTGTAGAGACAAGAATGTACAAGTATTAATTAGAAATATTTGTGAAAATAAACAACATTTATATTAATCTTTTGCTTAGTTAGTATTGCCACTCTATAACTGTTTATTGTTTCGCTGTTTTATATTGCTCAATCAGACTTTCTATGGCTTTGACTGGTGATACTGCAGCAGATACATTGTTTTTACTCAACATGACAAAATTGTTGGCTGGAATTTTTGTTGTGTTGTCTGCATACCATATCTTAATTGGCACAAGTCACATTTGTCCATTTTTCTGTAAATCTGCTCCTGCCTTTCACACACTCCTCCATGCTACTTATTCTTGCCAGTCAATATTAGATCAGTTTTTTGCTATTACGAAATCTTCCAAACTAACACATTGCAATTAAGATAAAGCCAATGTAGAAAAACCTTTCTGCAGAGGAAAGAAAGAACATTGAATTTTAAACCTAAGATAAATTCTGAAACTTGTTGTGGCTGCATTTTGTTCTTCAAAATTTGAACTGACTGATTTTAATTAACATTGCTAATTTTCATTTAGGTTTATTTGACATTAAATATAGTTGAACTTTATCTCGAAACACCAATATCTTGAATACCAGGATATGTCAAAGTGAATTGGCAGTCCCAACCTCTTTTTCCTTATATTTTTTGACCTCGTTATCTTGAATTGTTGGATATCTTGAAGTTTAAAGGTCAGTTCCATGAGTTTGAGATAACAAGGTTTGACTGATGAGTTTCAGAATAATTTATGACTAAATATTATGATCATTAATATCACTGGATAATGATGGGTTTACTGCACTTGCCTTAATAACTAAAAACCAAGCAGTGGAGAAATCCTTAGCTCTGCATGTATAATTTCTAGCACTAGTTTACTGTTAGTAGCATTTCAGTTTGTTGAAGCTGTGATTTAGCAGTTATTTCATATCTGTGCTTAATTTTTTTTAAAGCCTTGATTTTAAGTTGAAAACTTAAAGTTTCACTCATCCTATTTACTATGTGTAGATTTGTTTCTCATAAACATCATCCATTACATATATTACTTTCCTTCTTACCTGGGTGATTCTAATCATTTTTGGCAACTGACATTGTAAATTGTTGGATATCAGTCAATCAGAGCTTTTTTCCATTGGTAATAAAGATTAAGGTGTATTGTCTGTCTGTTTTTCTGTTTGCCTGTTGTTTTGTTGTTCATACACAACTTTATCATTGATCTTAGCTAATGAATATATAAGACTTTGGTATTGTCAAGGGTAAACATAAAAGTCAAGAAGTAATTTTTCGCTGTAGGAATTGGTCATTGACAGGAGCACAGTGTTTTGATTTTGGCTGTTTTTATTAGATGCTTACATAAAGCAAGTTTCTAAGGTTTTACCTACCAAAAGTGCTAATGTATTGTAAACTATTGGGTATTCTCATATCGGAATGAAAATTTTTTGTAGTATTTAGGCTTCCTGCATGGCACATTGAATTGTCCTTTGCATGCTTCCCAACTGTACAATTTTTGGGGGAATTTTACTAACATGCATGGGGGAACCAGTTTTAAGTTTTCTGGGGTTGGGCACCAGCCTGTGATTCGTCATTATCTCCACAGTCAACGTCGTATGCAGAGAAGAAGGGAGAGAACTGACAGACCCTCGTCTTATTCCCGCCGCGTGAGGGATGTTGAACTTCGGAGTGCTCATCATCCAATGACGGGTCACTCACCCCTGCATCACTTTGGATTTCCTATGGGTTTTGGCTTCACATCTTCTCTGTTTGATGACCATTTCGGAATGCATCATAGACCTGGGTAATTCATGAATATTCATCATCTTTGGCATGGGTCCAGTCGGGACTGAGGTTTAGGGTGATAACGCTTGGGGGTTAATGTGTGATGTTTGTCTAAAATGGGAATGATTCAAGTCATTGACAAGTATCTGTACATATTTTCATCATCCATACTCTTATCCAAACATTTGATGTGCTGGATATTTTTAGTGAATGAGTTTTTTCTAGATCTGTTCTCCTTTAAAAAGACAAAGTAAAATATTTAATAAAAATTGGTCTAATGCATTGTACTATTCCAATAGTAAATACATTCAGTGGTTATTTAGTTTTGTAGCATATTCCTCCAATAGGAAAAAAAAAGCAGTATAATGCAGGTCTTAATTTTCTCCTACTCTTGCATTATGATTCCACAAAGCAGTGTGTACTATATATAGACTTTGTGCACTTCTGTATTGTTGTTACAATAACATATTTGTATATATAAAGCTATAGTGTTTGAGTGTCACATTAACAGCATTTACCGTATTTGCCCTAATGACAAATCCTGGCCCTATATATACATCCATAAATCTGAAGAATAAGCACACGCCTAACCTTTGTAATTATGCTACATGTAGCTTTTACATAGATCTTGGGGAGTCTAAATTGCTACATTTTGAGGTATTAAACCTACAAGTTCTTATGGTTTTCGTTTTTTGTTTTTTTTTTGGTTTTTTTTTTTTTTTTTGAGAAAGGGAACAGAAATTTTCTAAACATACATTGGTACCTGAATTAATTACAGTCCTTTTGTTTATTATGTCTTGGTAAGTCTATATAAAACAATTAATGTAAACATTTATCACTATTTACTTATGTTCAAAGAAAGTTTCACAAATGTAAACCAATCAACTGCCCCTTTTGCTCCCCTCAATGTCATCAAGGTCCAAGGTTAAAGTTTTGGAGGCAGATATCTTTGGGAATAACTAGGTATCTTTGACCATCTTACATAGATGATGCATACTACAGACTAAATTGGGATGCTACATCTACATGTAGCTGACTTATATTTGCCAGTTTAGTGACCATGTTTAATGTCTTGGAGCCGGCCCATTTCCTATTATCTATAAGCCCAACCTGGACCAAAGTTACATAGATTGTATATCCAGAGATGCAACATCACCTGTTCAGCTGATGTATATGTTTATTTTCTTGTAAAGTGGGCAGATTAAAGTTTTGGAGCATGTCATTTCCAAATAACTTACAAGTCCTATCTGGACCAAACTTGAAGGGGGATACATCTAGAGATGCATACTGTCTTGTTGAATATGCTCCAAATGACATGTTTTTTAGATGCTCATTGAAAAACCTATCTTGACAAACTTATTTGATGAAACTAATGGACCTTACTGAACATTCATTTCTTAAAAAGTCAATTGGGGTGAATATATGTTGTTAGTAACAAGTTTAACATTGTAAATACAAGTGATTGCTTAAATTTACAACATGTATGTGTTTTCACAGCATACACTGTATGATGTTCATATGTGCTAGCTTGTGAGATTGTTTAGTAGAGTAAAATCAGCTAGGTACTGTATTAGAAGTCCAATGCATGTATCCATTTCACAAACTTTGTTTGAAAGCAAAAAAAAAACCTACTTGAAATATGTACACAGGTATGCATTTAGATCTTGCAAGACAAAATTAAAATCTGGCAAAAATGAAAATATATCCAGGACTTGTGACAAGTCCTTTTGACATAAATTCAATACATACATGTATATAATGATGTTTATATTTCCAAGCTCTGGCAGGACTCTCCAATTAAAATGGTGTTGTATACTTATGTCCCTTTGATTCATATTGAATAGTGATCTGCAGCTGAGAGTTATCCTCTGGGCTCACCATCTTGATTTTTGCCCTTTTTGTTCAACCGTTTTAAATGTGTTATTATTTGTATATTTGTTTTTCTTGACAGATTCTCCAATTTCAGTAGTACATCTTTCAGTGGCCCCAGAAGTGGGGGAAACTTTAGATCCACCTCTACATCTACAAAATATGTCAATGGCAAAAAGGTGGTGACCAGAAAGTAAGTATAGCTCTAAATGCAGACCAATTTACAGATAATTTATGTATATCGTAATACAGAGTTTTATATCTATCTTTATGTTTAAATGACCAAATTGCAAATGATAAGTTAATGTTTAGGAAAGTTTTTTAAAAAGTATTCAAGAATAAGTCTTCATTTACAACCATTGAATATTATTTCATATTAAAAATAATTTCCTTAATCAGTCCATAAATTTTAAACCAGTCCTTTAGTCGGAATCTTTTTTTTTCAGAGCTATCTATCTATATTAAAGATTTCTTAAGAAGTGGCCTCTTTCATCTAAAATGCATCATGACATATGGATCAATAATGCAATTTGTAACACACTTGCACTTACTTTATGCAATTGATACAGACATAAATGTAAACAATACAATGTCTTTCTTTGTTAATTAATGCAGGGATTACTGTAACTGTTGCAACCATTGCAGAAAAAATTACAGTTTGTTTACTGGGGTTATATCTCTTTTCTGCAATTGTTACTTCCTGCATTAATTAACAAACAGAAAGCATGCTATTGTTTAAGCATATACAAAAAAAAAAGCCACACGAAACTGACTGATATAAGTTTAATTTCATACATGTAATACATATTAGGTAGGTTTTTCACATTTCCAGTAAAGAACTGAGATGTCCTAGGATGGGATAGATGAAAGAAGAGTAGTGTTGAAATGTGTACAAAATATGTAAAGATGTAAATTGAATTCTGAATTAATCGACAACCTATCAATCATTTTCTACAAATTCATCAATTGCTTGGTGACATGCTTATTCCCGGTTATTATATCACACAGAACAAATAGTAACATAGGTTATACATTATGCCCATTATACCAGTCTTATTATGCCCCATTAGTTTGACAGTGAAGCTCTATTTCATTTTCACTTTACGCAAATTTCCATTTCTTGACGATCATTCTGCTCGTGCTATTTCAGGGTGGTGGAAAATGGTAAAGAAACCATAACCGTTACAGAAGATGGTAAAGTGGTACAGCATCTAGTAAATGGTGAAGAGAAACATGCAATTAAAAACTGACCGGGGACCAGCAATCAGAAAGCGCATCTGTGTTATTTATAGTAACAATATCTAGTTCTGTCAATCATCAAGAGCTTAATATATTTACTATGTAAATGGGTCAGAATGGTGCATTGGGGTCAGGTAAAAAAATTTTGGGATTGGACGAGTCTGGATTTTATCAGACTATTAATTCTTTGGTTAGATCAGAATATTAGATCTGATTTAATTAGGTCATACACCAGAGTACCAGTATATCATTTATTCACTATGTAAAAGTTAATCTGTATTATATCTATTGGAAAAGAAGTATTGTACTATTATTATAATAGAACAAGATGTCTCTGTTTATTTGTAATAATCTGGATTATAGAATTTAGTGCATATGTATGTATTGGACTATTTTGGACACATAAAGATTGTCTTTGGACAAGATTTATAAGTACAAAATGGCTGAATTTTGTTTGACCCATTTCTTACATGTATGTGTATATGTATGTTGTACATCAGCTGTTCATCTTGAATGGCTTAAAATAATTTGTTTTCTCAGCATTTTACCTGTGATGATGTTTCACGCTATCTTTCTTGCTTAAGATCATTCAGTTGTATTGAATGAAAAACTAAAGGTATGGTGAAAAAAAAAATATTGAAGTATTATAGTGATGCTTTAATGGATTTATTTAGAAAATAATTACTCCCTTGTTCTAAATTTAGATCCTGATATTGTTAGTAACACACTGAATCTTTGAATATGTATTTGTTGCTCTGCAGTGCCCTTAAATCGGTGTACTGTGAACAAGCACTTGAACCCAGTGTTCTTTATTTAATGTACGTGGTCCCAATAATACCTTTCTGTGGAAAAAAAACGTATTGGGCTGTATTTTTAGGTTTTTATTTTTACCCACTGAAAATAAGAGGTGGAAGATACTAAATTTATTCACTTGTTATCAGAATTGATATATTGATCGATAAAAAGATTTAATATTAAATTCTTTGTTGGAAAGTAATTTTGGGTATATCATATCATTATCGTTTGCCTGCATATCTCTCTTAATAGATGTCTGTAACTTTTATTCAACATATAGTTGTGCCATAGTGAAGACTTTGATCCCATGTACCATAATATTATTATCTCTGTATTGAAACAATATATAATAATAATTTATGTATTTTAAACATTTTGCATATGTACTTGTAGCAGTTATATTTCTCTGCATATTGATATCATTGTTTCTTTAAACTCTACAGTGATGGTCATGTTGTTAATTCTTTATTCATCATATCTGGTGGAAGAGATTTTCTGCTGGTGTTTGCTTAATGAAAAATTACATTCTACATATTCATTGTATGTACTTTTAAAATAAGTCAAGGAATTGGAATCATCCTTTTTTGTTTTGGTATCTGGAAAGTTTCATGATAAAGTTGCTCTGAGCTTTGGATAGTGTTAAGTATTTTTTTTCAGCCTGTAGATAATGGTGTATAGCTTAATATAAACAGGTTATATAAAGCTATGTGAATGTGGTAGTTTTTTTCTCATCATTCATTTTGTCAAGGCCATTTTACATGTATAACCTTGACATTCTATGTATAAATATCTCTGTCGTGGTTTAGTACAAATGAAAGGGGCTGTGTCTCTGTCCAGTTGATTTTTTTTTTTTGAAATCTTCTTGTTTTACATGAATGTTATCACTGTGTAAATGTTATTTCATTTTACCATGTTTGGCCAAATAGCAAAGTAAATGAGCTATATTTTGTGTTGGATTTTTCTTATAAATACAGTCAAAGTTATGAGAAACTTCCAGGGACTAATTTCATTATTACAGTAAAAATGCTTATAGTGATGTGCCAGGGATGAACAATTTTCCTTTGTAATAAACATAATTCATTATTTCTGAGCAGTTCATAATGGTTTAAAACTACAGGGAAAGGAAATAACTATGCTGATAGTGTGGTTTCATTATAAGGCACATTCTCTATAACTGTGTTTTACTGTGTAATTTAATACATCAGGTCAGTGTTTATTATATGTTGCTCCAAAGTCAGACCTCAAATTTTGCAAATGTTTCCACAGATGGCTAGTAAACTGAATCTTAAACTTCACAGAAATGATAATCACGAAAACTGTAGATGTGTCATTTACATATGAAGTTTTCAAAATGACCACCTTTTCCATGAAAAGACAAGCATTTCTTTAAATTTCATTTTCCTCAGTGACTGCTCTGCTAAACTTTTTGAAACTTTAAAGGGTTGTTCATTACATTCTGTCAATTGTTTTTACCAAAAATTGGAATCTGTTACACAAATTTTGTCACATTTCATGGAAAGAACAAATGTGTCAACTAGTATCAATATGCTCTTTCTCTTGCGGCATTTGAGTTTACCGTCTTGCAAAAGACTGTGCTAACTTTGTGCATACTTGCTTACTACTCCATATAGTGCAGAGTTGGGATCAATTCGGCGTGACATATGTAACTGTTTGCAATAGCAACAAGCTAATTCAGAGAATTTGTGGAGGAATTATATAAAGGAAAAAAGAAGAGGGTGGAAAAAATATGCAGATAGAGATATAAGGTCAACCTCGACTTTTCAGCTTTTGGTCCTAAAATCAGTAGGGGTCTTCTTTAGGTTAAAGAATTTAATTACCTTAAGTTTCATTGCAAAAGCTTACAGAGAACTAAGAAATAAGAAGGTTATTATCTGTTTGTTTGTTGTTTAACGTCCCTCTCGAGAATTTTTCACTCATACGGAGACGCCACCATTTGCCGGTGGAGGGCTGCAAATTTTGTATACTCGGCACTCAAGGGCCATTGAGCACTGAGGGATCTTTTTCATGCCAGCTCCTACTGCGACATGGGACCTCGGTTGTTTTATGGAAATTGGAAAATTTTTCATAAAAATGTCCACCTTTACAGCAATGTTACCTTGACTACTAAAATTCGTCTCAAAACCTTTCCTCTTCAACACCCGTTCTTCTATTTCAATTAAAATTGTTACAAAAGTAAACTACTACACGTAACATTACTACATTTATTGGTTTGAGATTTCATTGAGAGATGTTGCCACTGGTATTAAAGTTTAATAATCTAAGTATATTTTACAAATCTTTCTAAATCTTACTCTTGCAGTTTGTTTTGATTTCAGAAAAACGTCTTTGGTACTAGTTTAGAAAATATCATTATGCATAATTCCGGAAATGTAAATTAAAAAAAAAGAAGAAAAAATACTGTTTCAAGTCCACAGGCAACTTATCTCTTACCTATTATAGGAACAAACCGATAGAGCTACTGTATTTACAAAGACTTTTGGTTTATTCTAGGATAAATAAATGCAATTCAATATACTACTATTTTTAAACATGTTTTCCAAACGGTTATAAACGAAGTTCATATCCCTGTCATAAGTAAATTTTGAATTTACATGTACTTAGTGACAGTGAGTATAAATTTTGCAATGTTATACTGTAGATATAGCATCAAAATTTACAAAATTCAAGACAGTTGAGAATTTTCTAGCAGGATCAAAGACATGTAACTGTATACATGAATATTATTTTAAGTAATTAAATGCACTTGACAAAAAACCTTCTTTTACATGCATGTACATGTACATATACACAAAATCATAACGGTTCTGCATGTCTGATTCATAACAATCGAATGCATTTTTCAGAAATCAAGCGGACATTAAAAGTCCCAAAAACATATGAGATATAATAAGATAAATGGCAAATAATTAATATGATTGAATACTGATTGGCTGAGAATGAAATATGGAGATAACGAACAGTAATCAAGCTCAAAAATCCATTGAAGCAATACAAATCGGGAGCAGAGCATCCTAACAACGTCAGGGGTTCTGATTCAACTGGTGGCCGTTGGACCCCTGACAAACTTTAATTCATATTCTACGGCCTGACTCCAGCGACGTCTTTCGGAGTAATTACAAATTTTGGCTGTTTTTCTTATCTTTCGACCAATCACATTAAACTTTTCGGTGACAAACAACCTGTGACTCGTGCATTGAGGTGGCAACTTTCTATTTGCGTTTTATATCAACATGTGAAAGCCTCAATCTGATTGGTGCTTCTCAATGAGAGAAGCAAGCCCGTAGAATATCGAATGATGTTTGACAGGAGTCCAATGGGCACGTGTGGACTCGGGACCCCTGACGTTGTAAGGATGGGAATAGAGAAAACACGGACCTCTGAAAACATCAGAGGTGGGATCAGGTGCCATGGAGGAGTAAGCATCCTCTCTCGACCGGTCACACCCGTGTGTTCATTGTCATGATCGGGCAAACGGAAAATCCGTAGAAAATTCAGTGTTTAAATAATGGCCAAACAATTAGTATGAAAAACTCAAGTCAGCATTTGAGATAATGATAGATTGTATTTGCTGACATGGTCAAAGAACTTGCGAAATGACTTTAAACGAAACTGTTGGTATCCTTTTTTATCAAATTGCTTGTCAAAAGCTTGCCTCGTTTTAGAAATTGTTCGTACGTGGGGCATGTTATTGCGTATCGAATCAACTGGGAAATATAAACCCCATATGCAGGTGATAAAGGTATGCTCCTACACATAAGTAAGGGAAGTTGACGATAGAAAAGTTGAAGCCATCAGTTTTATCATAAAGTTTGGTTGTAAGATACTCATAATAGTAAGCATTAACGTCTTTTTCTATTAAAATATCCAAATATGAAACAGATATATCAGACTCTGTGGTATTCTTTATTTCAAGTTCACTGGGATATATCGCGTCGACATATGAATGGAAACAACTATTGTTAGTTGATAATATGTCGTCGATATATCTAAATGTCGAGTTGAAGGCCACAGCAAGTGTCTTCTTCATCTTATGTAGAAGTTTTTGAATAAATTCTGCTTAATATGAATACAAAAATAGGTTTGCTGATAACGAGTATTTAATAAATATATAATAATAAATTATAATGGTAATAACGGGGCGCTATTGGTACCCATGGGAATTCCGACAGATTGTTGAAAGACCTGATCTCCAAAAATTACATAGATAGTGTCAACCAGAAACTCAAGCTTTTTTTTAAATATCTACTTTAGAGAACATATGTGTACAATTAAAATATTTTTAACAAAATAATTTTGCAAATGACCAATGACAAGGTAAGTAAATTTACGAGTTCCATTTTCATTGAAAAAAAAAACCCAGCTGTCTATTATGTCAAAAAAGCCTGGACTTTAGTTTATCGTGGGGAATGGTGCATGGTATGAAGTGTTGAAAATCAACAGTTAGTTCTTCTTCACATTCGCACCAAACTTTACTCTTTCCCTTTGAAACTTTTGAATAGTCTACTTGAAAAGGTCAAGGAAAGTCCATATTTGGATTCTTCGACAACAGAATACAGGCTTGGATCTGTGATTATGGATATTGCAAATCATAGTCTTTTAAAATCGCCACGTTTTACAGAAGAAAATGCAGCTAAAACAACCCGTTTTTTCCTTAAACTCCAATATGCCAACAAAGGAATTGACGCGGTTAATATACATGTAAGTAACAAATATTCATCGACTATTGCTTCCAAACTTGTTAATTACAAGAAAACTTTACAGGGCCTGGATATCGAATATCTGAAACATAATCCTCCTTCGTGTTCATGTTCTTCTTCACCCTATAACGATATTCCTGCTGGACACGTTATTACTGGACTTTTGCGAGAAGCGCTGACTTTTACAAACGACGACTTACTTTTACACTAGGACAATATACGAAAGCTCTTTTGCGATATAAATATTAAGCCCAATAGCTAATAAGAACGATAATAATGGGCCATTTGAAAGCAAATATTACGTTGTCTAGGAAAGGATCGGCACCCACCCTACCCTCAACCCCCTCTTTTCCCACATTGACCAATTCTTGCTTTGTTTTCCTTCCGAAATTTTTTTTCTTCCTTATTTCATTCCTTCAAAAAAATGATTGAGAGGAGATACTACCCTCACGAATAAGGTAATTTAAGTTATGTTATTCTGCCTCCCATCATCTCTTGCGTTGATTGCATACCGGTAAATCATGTAAGTGCCCTTATCACCATACCTATAACCACTATTAAGTTTTTCTTGTCTATTATCAATTCCGTACCTCCGTACATTAGGCAGGTTTATATGTCAAAGTAAACCGTCGATTGTAAAAGTCAATGCTTCTCGCAAAAGTCCACTGGTGACGTAAATATAGTTAATAATGAGGACCTTAGATCACTAATTTTAAAAGGTCCTAAATAAAGGGAACCCCGATCCTTCAACTGGCGTAGTAATTTCATACATATTATGGATTCTGTAGAGGATTACGCCGGGTGCTGGGTCAGATATGAAAAAGAAGACATTGGCACTTTGTCAGAATGGATTAAATGTATCAGATATATGTTAAAATCTCGCATTAAACGATTGAGGGGATGTATGAAACCATCTATCCTTCTGTATTCAGTATTCAGTAATTCAGAAGTGAAAAAAGAATTAGATAGATTACACGATCAGTACGTACTGGTCCCTGCTGACAAACCAGGTAACAACATTGTCTTAGTTTGTTTGTAAGGCTCATTATATAAATTGTATTTTAGAGTAACTACTAGTAGTTCTACAAGCGGTAATCCAATTTATACCCATAGCTCACTTTCTAAGGAGGAAATTCTTCAAAATCATATGTCAGTTTTGAATATTTTTAATATTCCCAACAACCAAAATGAATTTGAATTACCATATCTATATTGGAATCCGAAACTTCAAAGAAATCCTAACAAATAAAGATACATAGCGGGTTCCAGTAAATGTTCTACCAAGCCTCTTTCTTTACTCCTCACTAAGATATTAACAGCAGTGAAGGAGAAACTTCAAGAGTACTGTGCAACAATATATTTGAGAAGTGGTGTAAATCAGATGTGGATACTAAAAAATTCCAAGGAACTTCTGGAACATTTGAAATCACAAAATTTTACCAAAATTAACAACATAAAAACTTACGACTTTTCAACTTTATATACAACTATTCCCCACGATAAATTAAAGTCCAGACTTTCTGACATCGTTGATAGCTGCGTTTTCAATAAAAATGGAACTCGTAAATTTACTTACATTGTCATTGGTCATTTGCAGAATTACTTTGTTGAAAACCAATCTGATTGTACACACAAGTACTCTGAAGTTGACATTAAAAAGGTGCTTGAGTTTCTGATTGACAATATCTATGTGGTTTTTGGAGACCAGGTCTTCCAACAATCTATTGAAATTCCCATGGGTACCAATTGCGCCCCGTTATTAGCAGACCTATTTTTGTATTCATATGAAGCAGAATTTGTTCAAAATCTTTTACGTGAAAAGAAGAAAAAAACTTGCTGTGGCCTTCAACTCGACATTTAGATATATCGACGACGTATTGTCAATTAACAATGGTTATTTCCATTCTTATGTCGATACGATATATCCCAGTGAGCTTGAGATAAAAGATACCACAGAGTCTGACACATCTGTTTCATATTTGGATAATCTATTAGAAAAAGACGGTGATGGTAATCTAACAACCAAGCTTTATGATAAACGTGATGACTTTAACTTTTCAATCGTCAACTTCCCTTACTTATGCAGCAATATACCCATATCACTTGCATACGGGATTTATATCTCTTAGCTGATTCGATACGCAAGGGCATGCTCTACGTATGAACAATTTCTAAAACGAGGTAAATTATTGACAAACAAGTTGATGAAACAAGAATATCAGCAGTCTCGTTTAAAGTCATCATTTTGTAATTTCTATGGTCGTTACAATGACCTTGTCAGCAAATACAATCTTTCATTAAGTCAAATGCTGACCGACTTTTTTCATACTGATTGTTAGGCCATTATTTACACATTGATCTGTCGACGGATTTTTCCGTTATTTCCCGATCATGACAAGGAGCACACGGCAGGTGTGACCGGTCGGCAGGGGATGCTCACTCCTCCATAGCACCTGATCCCACCTCTGATGTCTTAGAGGTCCGTGTTTGCTCTCCTATTTTGTAATGTTTAATGGACTTTTGAGCTCGAATACTGTTCGTTATCGCCACATATTTCATTTCACCTCCACCCAACTTTCAGGTGGACACAATATTTATTTTTTTCTAAACATCGGACCAACCATAGACCAAGAAATTCTAAATTAATTTAAAAAAAATGGTTATATTTATTTTAATCCTGCTTCTCTCACTGTATTCGGCTGCGACTTAAATAAAAAAAAAAGGTGACCAGGTTTGCTTAACGAGTTTGTATCATATACCGGTATTCACCTCGCCCTTCGGACTTGTGAATATTGTACTTCTCGGGTAGAGAAATCTCTTATTGATTTCAAAAAAACAGCAATAATTTTATAATGTCCTAATTTTAAAATATAATTGTTGATAGGAAAAAGGTAACATGTTTTGTAAAGTTCGTGCCATATTTTCTGACAAGCTACAATTTGAACAGGTGTGCACAGGTTTAGTGTTGAGAATGATTGTAGAGTAATATAGGAACTGAGATTGAAAGAGTGTCGTATAATTTTTTTTGTATTGCTTCCATCAGCTGTATAGCTGCAGATAACTCACTTGACAGGCCCTCGAATGGTTTGGAAAACACAGTAAAAGACGTTTCAACAGCTCTTTGTCAAAAGTGTTATATATATTTTTTTATCTCTTGAAATGTATATAAATGTATGCTACGCAAAACAAAATATAAAGACTCTCACAAAGGTAAGATCATTAAAATTATATTTTTATCTCAAATGAAATAAAATGGAAAGTTACATCACTTGTATAAGAAAATGTTACATGTCTTATTTTAAAAGAATGACTAATTCCGTCTAAAATATATATATCTCCAGAAACTATAGCATGTTTTCTTTAATTCTACATTTGCACCGTATTTATTGCATTGTAGGAACATAAGTCACAAAATGAATATCAAAGTTACTCTTTTCGTGTCCCTTTTGTTCGTGGTTTGTCTGGAGGCAGCTGAGAAATCCAAAAGTTTGCCGATGAGGAGATGTAGCAACAATTGGCTGTTTGTCTGGTGTAGAAGAGTAAGAGAGAGAGAGAGAGAATATTGGGATGAAAGTGGGGTGTTTGAAAATCTATCTATTAAAATGGGTTTCCAGCTGATTTAAGGACAATATAACACAAACAAAAAATTTGATGCATGGATTGATATATATGTTTTTGACTTATTTTGAATAGAAATTACATATAGATAATAAATTTCTAAAGTATTAAGAAATCGTAGGATTTCCTTAGTGTTCAAATATGCGACTTTGTGCCATTTTCTTCATAAATCTATACAAATTTTTGCTCACACTTTATGAAATTATTACAAAGTTTAAGAAAATTTCCACAATGACTTTAGTAAACATTCTATATTACGATATATCTAATAGATATAATGCTAATTTCTGAGAAAAAAAATTGTTCGTGCTATTTATCCTTATCAACTTTAAGCTTTAGGGTCTAAAAAAATATTAAGAATATCCGCTCCTCGGACAAGATAACTCTTTAAATTATTATTTAATTCAAAAAGCCTCCAAAAGAAGCTTGACACTGAAATCTTTCCGTGCAATAATTTTTATTTCATGAATACATGATTCAAGGTTCTTTGAAGTCTTAGAAACGGACTTGTAAAAAGTTGACATTTGTACCCAATAAAAGTACAAAGATATATACATTTTTATAGAAAAATTGAATTTCCTTTAATCTAGCCCCAGTTACCAATACTTATTAGCATGATATGAAATTGAAGGTAATCTGTGATGTCTTCCATTGATAGCTAAAGCTTTTTACAGCTGTGTTTTAAATAACAATTGAAGTAAACAGAAGAACTAAAATACCATATAATTGCTATTTTTTCCGAATGCCTGGATACATATCTTTTTTCAATCTTGAAACCCAAGATATGGCATATTAATTGTTGTCAGTCGGTCTGTTTTTTTTTTTTTTCCGAAAAAGAATGAGGGCGTACAAGGTGAAGACAATCTCCTCCTCAGAGATAATTAATATACTGGTATTTTTCAGTTTGCAAACATCATGGAAAAGTTATATTTTCAAAATCTATGTTGTCCATAATATCATCTATAGACTAACACATTTGATTCTTTTATTTTATTGAATAATTTATAATTATTCTCGGTAAAATAAAGGAATCAAATGTGTTTTTTTTAAATATAACTTCTCAATGAACATTTAACGAGGGATTGTCGTCGCCTTGTATGCTTCCATTCATTACTTATTTGTAACTAAAAATAACAGAATGGAAATTTAATGTCAAAAATGAATTTCAAGTGAAAAATAAAATAAGAAATATAGCTTTTTCCCATCTGACAGAACTGCTAAAATTTGCATAATAAAATCTAAAAATTAATATTTTGAGGTATGAATAAATAATACAGAGAATTAGAGCCATTATAGCTTAAAAATACATGCATAAATTAAAAAAATAGAAAAAAAACATACGTACACGCAATTAAAAAAAAAACTTTCCTTTTTCAGCGTGGTGGTGGTGAATCAGACGGAACATTGCCGTGTAATTTCAACTTATTTGACGCAAACCGTGATGGATCCATTACGCTTGAGGAATTTCAGAGACACGTGGCTCCAAAATCAAGACCGCTTACCGAGACTATTTTCTACAAAATGGATGCTGATGGTTCGTACACAGGGGCTTGCTCCTGGCGTGTAAAAAAATATTTATTAAATAAACATATACGATACACTAAAACACGTGTTATTTTAGTACATCGTATATGTTTTTTTTTTTTTTTTAAATATTTTTACACGCCAGGGGCAAGCCCCTGTGGTTCGTATATGGATTTTTTTTAAAATTATATACCGGTAGATTAAATTCTTGCATCAAAGATCTAAGCACGTAGAAAGGGGATGGGTTACTATATTTTTTTTAAACAGTGTTCAAAATGTTTAACTGTTAAAATTTAGTATGAAAAATGATCATTGAAAGGCCGGTTGGCGGTTGGCGGTTACTAAAATAAACAAGAGGCCCATTGGACACAACACTCACCTGAGTCACTTTGGCTCTGTTGTTCTGCATCAGATTTTCTTACCAATTTCTATGTAACATTTTGATCGTTTATGGCTCCACCCACAGAGGCTGAGATTTGAACAAAAATGAATCTACATTACCAGATACTCTAATTCCTATGAGTAATCTACATAACTCAAAAAATTGCTGTTAATTCTTGAGTAGAACGTTTTAAAGATTTATGCCTATGTAATCCCTAACGTGGCCCCATCCTACTACTAGGGATCATAACTTGACCAATTAACAATCTAACTACCTCAAGAAGCTTCCACATAAGTTTCAGCTTTTCTTGTCCAGGAGTTCTTAAGAAAATTTTTAAAGTCTTTTTTCTATACAGTAAAACATGCTTATAGTAAGTGCCTAGGACCAACAATTTTGATTCGTTATAAACATGATTCGCTTTTTACGTTCAGTTAGAAAAACGTTTCAAAACCATGGGGAATGGAAATTAGTTCGAAGTAAGCGTAAATTCATAAGTGTGTTCACTATAACCGTCTTCTACTGTATACTTCAATGTAAAACTTTGATTCCTTAATGTGGTCCCACCCTACCCCCAAGGACCACGATTTACAATCTACACTACCTCTGGAGGCTTTCATCTAAATTTCATCTTTTCTGGTCCAGTGGTTCTCGAGAAGATTTTTCCTTTATATATCAATGTAGAACTTTGATTTCCTACGAGGCCCCAACCTACCCCTAGGGGACATGATTTGAGCAATTTGAAATCTACACCACCTCAGGAGGCTTCCAAATAAGTTAGAGCTTTTCTGGTCTAGTGGTTCTTGAAAAGAAGATTTTTAAAGAATTTTCTTATATATTTTAATGTAAAACTTTGATTTCATATTGTGGCCCAATCCTTCCGCAGGGGGACATGATATGAAAAATTGAGAATCTACACAACCTCATAAAGCTTCCACTCAAGTTTCAGCTTTTATGGTATAGTGGTTCCGAGATTTTTTAACAACCCCACCCAATTTTTGCCTTTTCTTGTAATATTATCTCCCCTTGGAAGGTGTCTTGGTCCTTCATTTAAAGTTCTCTTCACCCAGGGATGCTTTGTACCATCTTTGGTTAAAATTGATTCAGCGGTTTTTGACAAGAAGTTGAAAATGTGAATAGTTACAGATGGACGGCTAGACAGATGATGGACAATGGGTGCTCAGAAAAGCTCAGGTGAGCTGAATATACTTACATGAAACTGAGGATTTTCGTGTTACAACAATTTTCTGTAAATTTTTTGCACAGTGCAAATGCAGGGGCAGACCCAGGATTTTTCTTGGGAGGGGGGCACTTTCTTAAGTCAATTTTCTTCACATACACAACTCTCCTTAACATTTTAAATTTTAAGGGAGGTCCAAGGTCATTTTTTGTCTGGTTACATTTACATATAAATTTAACTAGAGGCCCATGGGCCACAACGCTCACCTGAGTCAATATGGCCCTGCTGTTCTTTGTCAGCAGATTTCTTCTTCTATATATTCATACGTAAAGCTTTGATCAACTGTTCTAGGCATAACCTATCCCCAGTTGCCATGTTTTGAATGAAATTGAATCTAAACTTTCTGAGGATGCTTCTATATTCATATAACTAATCATGGTTTTGCTATTCTTGAAACGGAATTTTAAAGATGTCTGCCATCCTACCCTGGGGGGGAGGAAGGGAGGGGGGTTCAAGATTTGAACAAACTTGAATCTACACTACCTAAGGATGCTTCCATATCAATATGACTAATTATGGCTTTGTTGTTCTTGAGAAGAAGATTTTTTAAGATATTTCTTATATATATTCTTTTGTTAAACTTTGATCCCCGAGTATGGCCCCACCCTACTACTGGAGGATGCCTTGAACAAACTTGAATCTACAATACTTGGGGATGCTTCAATATCAAAATGACTAATCACGGCTTTCCTGTTCTTGAAAAGATTTTTCCTATTTATTCCTATGTAAAACTTTGATCCCCCATTGTGGCCCCACCCTACCCCTGGGGGTCTTGATTTCGACAAATTTGAATCTACACTATCTAAGGATGATTCCATATCAATATGACTAATTGTGGCTTTGTTGTTCTTGAGAAGAAGATTTTAAAAGAATTTTCCTATATATTCCTATGTAAAACTTTGATCCCCCATTGTGGCCCCACCCGACCCCCGGGGGTCATGATTTGAACAAACTTAAATCAACACTACCTGAGGATGATTTCATATCAATATGACTAATTGTGGCTTTGTTGTTCTTGAGAAGAAGATTTTTAAAGAATTTTCCTATGTATTCCTATGTAAAACTTTGATCCCCCATTGTGGCCCCACCCTACCCCCGGGGGTCATGATTTGAACAAACTTGAATCTACACCATGTAACGAAAGTTTCCCATAAGTTTCAGCTTTTCTGGCCCTGTGGTTCTTGAGAAGAAGATTTTTAAAAGAATTTTCCTATATATTCCTATGTAAAACTTTGATCCCCCATTGTGGCCCCACCCTACCCCCAGAGGTCATGATTTGGACAAACTTGAATCTACACTACCTGAGGATGATTTCATATCAATATGACTAATTGTGGCTTTGTTGTTCTTGAGAAGAAGATTTTTAAAGAATTTTCCTATATATTCCTATGTAAAACTTTGATCCCCCATTGTGGCCCCACCCGACCCCCGGGGGTCATGATTTGAACAAACTTAAATCTACACTACCTGAGGATGATTTCATATCAATATGACTAATTGTGGCTTTGTTGTTCTTGAGAAGAAGATTTTTAAAGAATTTTCCTATGTATTCCTATGTAAAACTTTGATCCCCCATTGTGGCCCCACCCTACCCCCGGGGGTCATGATTTGAACAAACTTGAATCTACACCATGTAACGAAAGTTTCCCATAAGTTTCAACTTTTCTGGCCCTGTGGTTCTTGAGAAGAAGATTTTTAAAAGAAGACACCAAATTTTCACTTATTCTTAATTATCTCCCCTTGGAAGAGGGCATGGCCCTTCATTTGAACAAACTTGAACCCCCTTCACCCAAGGATGCTTTGTGGCAAGTTTGGTTGAAATTGGCCCAGTGGTTCTGGAGAAGAAGTCGAAAATGTGAAAAGTTTACAGACGGACGGACGGACGGACAGACGGACTACGGACAAAATGTGATCAGAAAAGCTCACTTGAGCTTTCAGCTCAGGTGAGCTAATAACTCTAAAACTAGCGGGAGAGGGGGGTCCAAACCCCCAAATCCTCTCTAGGTCTGCAGTTGAAATGTTAGGCCATATGTGGTGTAGACAAAAAAAAAAATCTATTTTTATTCCTAGTGAGCCTAAAAAAAACAAAAGTCCAGATTAAATTGGTCTGATCATTGATTTTAAAAGTTTTACTAACAGCTTGTTCAGTATGAAATACACTTTTCATGTACCAGTATATCAAATGATATTGTACCAATTCATCAATCAATTCTTTTAATAGCTGATGCAGCAATAACAGAAGCGGAGTTCAAGGACAGTCTGCCAACACTAAAGGCTGAGAAAATAGCCAACTGCTAGTCAACTTGGGTAATGAGATAGTGTCCTTCAGTTAATGCAAATCTGATTACCCTTTACTAACAAATATTTTGTTTGACAAACTGAGCAGCAGATATACACATATCTACGCAGACAAACATGAATACACTCTGAAAATGTTCATGAGAAAAGCTTTTCTATGGTAACTCTGATTCATACACATGTATGAACTGTTTGTATATTTTGAAATTCCATTTACTTCAAATCTTTCCAATCATTTTGTAGGAAGTAATGCCAATGGATTACAGAAATCCTGGAGAATAAATGGACAAAATAAACCTAATAGCATAATAGTTCTATGATTGTGTAATTCTCTCAGAAATCTAGACATATAGAAGCAGATTCTACAAATGAAATAAATCATGTACATTAGCTGTACACACCTGGGAACTAATATCTAACAAATATCATGTCCATATGATTTTAAATGCATAAAGGCACAATACTTTAGTGTAACAATCTTTCTTTTTAATCAATGGTTGATTCATAAAAAAAGCACATTTTTACAAAAAACTGTTTTACGTGCTTTGAGAACATAAAATCAATGTATCTGTAGTAGATGGAACCAATTGCAGAAATTATGTTAAAAGTGAAGCTGTCCTGTATACTAGAACATTTTTCTGTGATTTAATTTTAATAAAAATATATAGGAACTGAAGGTAATCAATTTACAGAATCAAAATTAAATTAATGGAAATTTATCTCTGTCCATCGACTGCATGCATGTAGTGCAACAAACATGAATAATGTATATCCGAAACAGTATTTGCTAAAGTCTACAGAACGACATCATGTGACAGAGGAGATTTCTGGGAAAAAACTGGGGAACCAGTACTGTCTACTGTCTGATGCTTGGTCATCTACCCAGGCTAGGCCTTCCTTTACCATGTAGTCCTAAAACAAAAATAAGTCATGTAATAAAAATCTTAATTGTACAATTCAAACAATTATGTTCCATCTTCCCATAACAAGCATATAAGCATTAAAATTTTGCACTGCAATTTATTGCCCAAATGTACATGTATTTTCGACTACTTTTGATAAATCTGGTTGAATTTGAATAGTCTACTCTGCAATAAATTTCATTATTATATAGCTAATAAATAGTCTAAAATAAAAACCTAATAAAACTCTAGAGAATTTTAGCATTCAATATCTTAGCATTTTATTGAATGCTCAGTTTGCAACACATATAACAGTATGTCCCAAGAACATGCCGGATGTGAGCGTTTAATATCGAACGCTGCGTTGTAAACAAAAAATGTTGTCTGGTCAAATGCTCAACAGCAATATTAATGATGTATACTGGCAGCTAGAAATGATGGGTCTATTTTCACACAAAATTAAAAATATTAATAATTTAGTACCTATAGGCCTAAAAAATAAAACCCAGTAAGCAATTCATAACGTTTGGTAGTGTCATCAGAATGATTTGTTATTGAACACTTCCAGGACAGACGCTGGTACTGCACGCTCAGTTTTCATTCAAATACTGACATTGAATAATTCTCATTAATCTGGAAATTTTTCTTTTAAATTATTTTTATAAATCAGTGATAAAATGTTTTAGCTATATAATAAAGGGGTTATTGAACTTATATTAGTGAGTATTGGCATTCTTTGGCTGTGCACTTGCAAAATCATGCATTTATTAAGCCAAATTATGCCAATATTCACCAATATAATTTCAATAACCCTATAATATTTAATAACAAAGCTAAGTGCCAGCTTTGGAACAGATTGTATTGGTTTGTGGTTTAAGAGGCATTGAATTAAAAATAATACAGTAGTTTGAAAATTTAAGATTTTGTGGAGGACTCTTCATGCCAAAATATCAACAGAAATAAATCCCCTATTTATAGTGATTTCACAGCAAGCATTTTCTATAATTCTACCAAGGCTCTGGAAGCACGCTCTTCTTCCCACTTCAAAGAAGACATCAACGATTTCTTGGACACAAATCCATCACTCTACAAAAACCAAAAAACAATACTGAGGAACTTGACAGGAAAAAACTAAAACTAATATCTTCACATGTGCATTATATCTGAATTCTTATACAGAATAAAATGCTGATCATTGGGATTTGTCAAATTGAAGGATGACCATGGTCTCCATAAAACAAGATTTTGTTTGATCTCTCGACCAAAAAAAAATCGCTTCCTCTACAATGATTAAATTAAAGTAAATTTTAATTTCATATACCTGAGCTTCTTGCAGTAGTTTGGTGTGATCCATAGTTAGCTCCCCTGGTACACTCTGCACCATGTAACTCTTTCCGAGGGCTATCACAGTAAAACCATTACCCAGAATCCTCAGCTTCTTTATTGCACGCAAGAGATCATCTCTGAAACACATGAACTTGTAAATTAGATTTTCAACCTTGTCATTTGAACTAGAATGGAGCATGACCAACTTCAATATACAGTGTTTTCAATTTATTTCACAAGGGTTAAAGATAAGTTGTAACAGGCTAGGGGCAGTGGTTTAAGAACAGAATCCCTTACAACAATTATTTTTCAAATTTTTTTTATTTCTAAGTGGCATTTATATCAATTGAAGTGGTCAATTTGGCCAATAGCTAGTTCCTAGGGAAAACACTGAATATATCCATGGATTCAAGATAATGAGATTAAAATATATGAAGAAAGAGTGATGGGGACTTTCAGCTCACATTGACATATTCAAGATGTTTGACACATTGATGGTCAAGGTACATAAGTTCAACAGTGACTGTAAAGCTTAGGCCTCGGTGAAGATGCAGTATACATTTAATTTATTATACATTTATGTAATTAGTTGAATTTGATTTGTTGAGAAACATTTGTTAAAACACACTGTTACCCTCTAAATGATGAAACCATGCCTTCCAGCTTGATAGAACAACAGTCAGCATTACTTGACAATGAGTTATATATTCCAAAAAATATTGACTGCGCAGAATCTATGCGCACACTGTTCATTAATTGTTATTAGTATTTATATAAAACATTCAGTATAATATAATAAACACTGCAAGTAATTGAAGGAAACAATGAAAATTTTCACCCCAAGATAACCATTGTCCAATCTGATTAAAATCAAAACTTTGTTACGCTCCGAAATTCTGAAGGTCGCTGTACAAAGCAGTGACCATCAGAATTTCGGAGCGTAACAAAGATCTGATTTTAATCAGATTGACCTATATCAACCTCGGCTGTGCCTCGGTTGACAATGGTTTTCTTGGGGTGAAAATTTTCAGTTTTACCCATAACTACATGAAGTATTTACATAATAATGTATTTCTACATTACATATTAAAAGATAATCAAGACTACATCTATTTCTAATGAATACCATATTTTTTTTTAATTACATATTAGGCTGAGGACATCAGTACTCACATACTAATGGGCTGGCTTTTCTTTCCCCTGGAGGCTGTTACTTTGTCCCTTAATTCCTCTATACTGATTAATCCTGTAACATCAAAGTAAATCCAGCTTATACATGTATATACTCTTGATGTGTAATTTAATATTACTGAGGTCATATGAGTGAATAAGTAAATTTACAGATTTTCTAACAAACTGAACAGTATCAACAAGACACCCAAGACCATGATGCTTACCTGAATCATCCTTTTGACAAACAAGAGGCCCAAGGGCCTTTATGGTCACCTGAGTATAAAACAACAATCCATAGAAGATCCACAGAGTATAAAATAAACTGATAGAAGAAGCTTTTGTAAATCTTTGATTGTCCCTTGTGGCCCCACCCTATCCCCAGAGTCATGATTTGAACAAACTTGAATCTATACTAGCTGAGGATGTTTCCATGTAAATATAACCAATCATGGCTTTGTTGTTCTTGAGAAAAGAATTTTTTCAATTTTTAATGATTTTTTTTCTATGTAAAACTTTGATCATATTAAAATGACTAATCATGGCTTTGCAGTTCTTGAGAAGAAGAAATTTTCCTATATATTCCTATGTAAGACTTTGATTCCCCATTGTGGCCCCACTCTACCCGGAAGGGGGGGGGGGGGGATTTGAACAAACTTGAATCTACACTACCTGAGGATGCTTCCATATATTGACCAATCATGGCTTTGCTGTTCCTGAGAAGAAGATTTTAAAAGATTTTCCCTATATATTTCTATGTAAAACATTGATCATCCATTGTGGCCTCACCCTACCCCCGGGTGTCTTGATTTGAACAAACTTGAATCTACACTACCTGAGGATGCTTTCATATAAATATGACTCATCACAACTTTGCTGTTTTTGAGAAGAAGATTTTTAAAGATTTTTCCTATATATTCTATGTAAAATTTGATCCTCCATTGTGGCCCCACCCTACCCCTGGGGGTTATGATTTGAACAAACTTGAGTCTACACTACCTGAGGATGTTTCCATACAAATTTCATCTTACCTGGTCCAGTGGTTCTTGAGAAGAAGATTTTTAAAAGATACCATTAATTTTTCATTAATTCTTAATTATCTCCTCTTGGAAGAAGGCGTGGCCCTTCATTTCAACAGACTTGAATCATCTTTACCCAAGGATAGTTTGTGGCAAGTTTGGTGGAAATTGGCCCAGTGGTTCTTAAGAAGAAGTCGAAAATATGAAAAGTTTAGGAACGACGCACACCTGCACGACGAAGGACGAAAACAGATAGCAATAGGTCACCTGAGTGACTCAGGTGACCTAATAAATATGTTCATAAATAAAACCTCTTCTAGTTGACCCATCAAATTTTGAAACTCACTACTTTCAGCAATTTTGATTAAGTATATTGAAGTTTGAAGTCAATTATATGTTTTTAAGCCATGGTGTTCTTGAAAAATTTTGTACATTGCTAATAAATTTTAACGCCCTAAATGTGGCCCCATTCCTAACCTGGGACTACTAATTAATTAAACTTGAGAATACATGTATATGTGTATAAATTTAACTAATTTCTGAGTCTCTGTTCTTGAAAAAAAAATTTCATGTTTAATTCTATGTCCCAACTTCACCCCCATTCTAATCTTGAAACTACAATAATGATACATATGGCGAGGAAGCTTAACTTAACTTTTAATTAGTCTTTCTTAGCCAAATGGTCTTTGAGATGAGAACTTTCAAATGACCCATCCCATTTTATCATTTATTGATTAACTCCCCTTGGAAGGGAGAATAGTCAAATTTAATTCTCCTGCACAAAGAGATGCTAGCAAAAGTTTACAAAATTTTGTTAAAAATTGCTCAAGGTTTTTGGGAAGAGGTCAAAAATGTTAAAAATTTACAGACCACAAATTTGATCAGAAAACCTTGATCTCAGGTGAGATAATAAAGAGAAAATGTTACACAAACAATACTACTAGTATCTGAGGATGGCAGTTAACTCCACAAAAATGAAGTTCCTGGAAAAAGCAAACATTTATACCAATCTTAACAATAAGTCCCCAGTTGTTTACCTCCATTTCTATGATTGGTTGCCATACACACTTCAATTATCTGTACTCCCAGCTCGTAGTAAAAGTCTCCCACACCCAGCATCTCTGCCCAGAAACCTTTACTAGCTAGAGAGAAAAACAAACCATTAACAACAACAAACAAGAGGATTAAAATAGCAGACAAGATAAAAATAGATACCAAAATATATATTTAGTAGAAAATTCAATGTTCTGTAGTTGGATATGGTAATTATTTCATGAGTAAGGGATGATTTTTTTTGTATATTTTATATTAAGTACAAGGGATTACTCTTGAGGATTCCTTCAGCAAGAGGGTCCACTCGCAATAACAAAAATACTAACAGCAGTGATGTCTACTCTCACTGTAGATTCCTAAGTTTACGCGAGGAATAAATTATCACCTAATTTCACATGAAGCATCACTCGTGAAATAAAATTACTCACTTATATATTTATGGTGCTGAAATCCATGTAAAATCAGTTGATCAACAGTCCATTCACAAATTATTGCTTGTGATTTGATGCCTAACCGCAATTTCATGATATTAAGTACTCACATAGAATAAGGAATCTACAGTAGATACTTACAGGCTTGATGCCTACTCTTACTGATACAGATATATACAGGCTTGATATCTACGTTTACTGATATAGATACTTATAGGCTTGATGTCTACGCTTACTGATACAGATACTTACAGGCTTGATGTCTACATTTACTGATACAGACACTTACAGGCTTGATATCTACGTTTACTGATATAGATACTTATAGGCTTGATGTCTACGCTTACTGATAAAGATACGTAAAGGCTTGATGTATACATTTACTGATACAGACACTTACAGGCTTGATGTCTACGTTTACTGATACAGATACTTACAGGCTTGATGTCTACATTTACTGATGTCTACTCTTACTGATACAGATACTTACAGGCTTGACATCTACTCTTACTGATACACATACATACAGGCTTGATGTCTACTCTTACTGATACAGACACTTACAGGCTTGATGTCTACATTTACTGATATAGATACTTACAGGCTTGATGTCTACTCTTACTGATATAGATAATTACAGGCCTGATGTCTACTCTTACTGATACAGATAATTACAGGCTTGATGTCTACTCTTACTGATACAGATACATACACAGGGCTCGACATTAACGCTTGTCCGCTTGCCCGGTACCAGTGAAAAAAAAACTACGGACAAGTGAATATTGCTGGGCACTTGTCCGATTGGACAAGTGCATTTTAATGTAAAGGAGTCTCTAAATAATAATAAGAATGACTGTGAAAGTTAATCGGTAGTTTCAAGATGGAAGCTGTACTTAAAAACTGGACTTTGATCCCGATAGGGATCGCTATTAATTGAGTTCACATTGGATCGGGATCGAAGTTCACTAATTGCATACTACTGAAAAGGCATGGAACTTACGAACTTAACGAAGTTTGGTTCACTTGTGGACATTTATGTTGTTGTCAGGACAGAAAGCCTAGATAAAATTTCGTTTTATGTGTTTGTTGTAAATATCAATAACATCACGAATCAATCAAGCACATGTCATGTATAATGGACTTTATTTTAGTTTTCAAGCTGACAGTATTAGATCTTTATTGAAAAATTTTCGGACAAGTGAAGTTGAAGTTCGGACAAGTAAATTTCTTGGTCACTTGTCCGAATGGACAAGTAGGAAAAAAAGTTAATGTCGAGCCCTGCATACAGGCTTAACAGGGATTTATCAGCCTATTTTGGGAAATGCCATTTTTGGGGAATTGGGAAAAAATTATCGGCTATTTGATGAAATTGGGAAAAATAAAAAATCTTGCTTACATCATGTATTCATATGTAATTCAATGTAATTTATTTAACATTTCAGCATGAACTCTAATTTGGGCAACCAAACAGACAAATTAATAATCCAACTTCATCATACAAGATCAATTATCAGAATAATAGACTTAAATAACACTAAATATGGCTTCATTGAGTATAAAGTATTTATATAACTTAAGGTAGTACATGTGTATATGAGATTCCAATTTAGGTCATTTAAGAATTTATCTGTTTCTGGAGGTTATAAACCTCCTGCAATTTAAAAATTATACTAAGTTCCATTTTAATTTGTAAAAATCCATTGAAAATATATTTTTCTATCTGAAATAATGCCTACAGTTCTTACCATTCACTCATAGATCAATTGAGTAGGTTGAAATAACTTAATAAATCTACATAATAACACAATATCTCCATTTTCAGAAAAACAGAGGAAATTCGGAGAAAAAGTCGGCGATGTTTTACAGTGTTTTTTAAAACATGTTATGGCTGTAGGTTTGCTAAATGAGTTAAACAGAGAAAAATTACAGATAATCTGACAATTTTACTTTGTGTTAATTAAACATAAAAGCATTGTTCACCAATTGGGAAAAAATACTGCCAAATTGGGAAAAATTGAACTTATTTTCAATAGGGAATGGGGCCGAATTTCGGCCCCTGAGAGGGTACTGATAAATCCCTGCTTAATGTTTTTACTTACTGAAACAGTTATATGTGTTTACAGGCTTGATGTCTACTCTTACTGATACAGATACTTACAGGCTTGATGTCTACATTTACTGATACAGACACTTACAGGCTTGATGTCTACGTTTACTGATATAGATACATACAGGCTTAATGTCTACTTTTACTGATACAGATACTTACAGGCCAGTGGGTCCACTCCTATGGAGGCACACATCTCCTGGAAGCTGACCCTGAACTGTGGGTCCTTTTTAATGTCATCTTTGTGTTTAGCAGCAAAGTCTTCTAAGTTCACTTTGAACATTTCCATTTGTTTGGCCATCTAAATGTTCAATCAAAGAATGCTTAACTTAATGCTTACCACACAAACATAACTTTACGATCCTTCATCTAAAGACACAGAGATACAGGAAATATTGGGTCAGAAATCTTGAAACTAAAAGGCTTTGTTATCCCCCTCCCACACAACTCCCTCCCCTAGAATCATTCTCCTGCTACATTCCTTGTGGTAAGTAATTATCAATGCTTATAGTAATTTACTCCTTTATAGTTAAGTTATATAAATTGGTATTGTAATTTAACTATATTAACAATACAATCATAAATATATACAGCTCTTTTGCTTAAGTTTTATATCCATTGTTTGTAAACACATCAAAGTAGAATTAATTTCTTATGAAGTGAATAACTAATAAAACAAGAAAAACAAAAAAACAAAAACAGAAATTTGTCAATTCTAAATGGCTAAAAGTTTTTGTTGTTGTTGTTAAGCTAGTTTAGGAAATAAATAAGAATAAATCAAAAGCTGTACCCAATATTTAAACATCAAGCATAAAGGCTTGTACCTTTTAGTCTCCACAAGACAATTATTTCAAATTCTTTTAAAATTGAATATTTGGTACATGTAATGCAGGTGCTTTTCATACTCAGGTCTGCGGCAGGGATTGTCTCTTACCTCAGCCATTTGGCTTTGCTCCAGCTCATTGCCTTTGTTTTTGTAACGAGCCTGAAACAAAAAATTAATCAAAACATGTAAATCAAATTTGATCTATTATCCATTATTGAATATATTCAGAATGCATAATACACTTTTCCATATTTCTATACAATTTAATAAAATAAATTTTAAAATAAAAACATTAAACTTTTAATAACCAGTCATTTAGATTGAGATTCTTTCAGATAAAATTATTTTGTGTACTGTTCATAACACAGTTTCATTAAGTTAATTTCATGGACTGACACCTGACCAGTATCAATCTACTGAGCTAGATCACAAAAGCTGCAAGTGTACTAAACAAAGGGCGAGTGTAAATCTGTATTAAGACAGGTGACCAATGCATGTAAATGGTGGTAGATGTATTGTGTTTCTCAACTAATTTTCCTGAATTGAACAATTGAATGTTTTTTGATCACAGTGATTTTCCAGCAGTGAAAGGTAACATAAAACTTTTTAAATTTTTCAATCTATTTCTCAGTATAAATGAATGATGTTTCAGTGAGTCCTGCCTAGAGTAACATGTGTGCAAAATAATCAGATAAAATATTTGGAATCCCACCTTTCCTTTTTACAAATGAAAATAAGACAGAAAATATTTTTCCAATTTTAGCAATTTTTTGTAAAAATTACTTGATTTAACCCAATTATTGCCAAAATGACACAATGGATTCAAGGCAACTTTTACACAATGACACACATACTTATAGCTACATGTATTGAATAAGACAAAATATATTCTGTTGCAATTTGTTTAAGGTCAAGGTATTTTTGAGTAATTACATTAACCTAATAGCTATAGCTAAGTGGTTACAGCAACTGACTATTAAACATATTGAATATTAAATATTATTATTATTATTATTATTATATTAAATATTATTATTATTATTAAACTAAATATTATATTTAATATAAACACATATACTAGTGATAATCCCAATTCCCATTAGAAAAATTGTCAGTCCTACAAATATTACAACTGCTAGAATCACACTGCTCAACGCGTTATCGGCAATTCGGTTGTTATCGGGCATTCGGTGCAAGAAAAGCGATGTTTAGAAAACGTAGGTAATTTTAAATTTCTTAATTCAACGATAATTGCGTACTCCAGCGAACAAAGTTTGTGATCGTTGGCAGATATATGATTATACTTTCAGCAGCAAAAAGCACAAACCAAATCACTCTCTTTCAGAAGATCTACAGCTCTTTCAAATGATATTTTATAAAAATTTCGGAATATGTCATCACATTTTAGCTTTTTTAGAAGTCAATTTCAGTTTTTTGTATTAAACATAATAGTTTATATATTCTATGGACAATCATATACCTGTAGATAAGCAGACTAAGATCAAAAATCCAAATTAAGGGTTAGTTAACAGGCATTTAAAATGTCTCGTTAGGTGAAAACATGTTATCGTCAACAAGGTTGATGTTGCCGGATAATTCGGTTTTTACGAGTGCACGTTATCGGAAACTCAGGTTAAAAAGTTTCCTTCAGCTTTAGAAATAGATTGGAAAAAAGTCCATTTTAATCTGTCAATCTTTGAAAATTTCAAACGTAATGTTTTTTTAACTAATTTTTGAAAATTTTCTAGCTGTTCATTGTTAGTTTTTGATATACATGTATATACAGTACCAACCAGACCCAACCTGACACCAAAGCAGTCCCAGAAAGCAGTCCCCGGGACTGCTCTGGGACTGCTCTGGGACCGCTGTGGGACTGCTCTGGGACCGCTATGGGACTGCTCTAGAAAGCAGACCCAGCAATCCCTGGGACTGCTTTCTGGGACTGCTTTGTTCACTCATGCGTGAAGAAGGTTCTGAGTGACATGATAGCTCCGCCCCTTGTGTATTCTGAATTTGCAGGCTCCCTGTTGTTGTTTTGTTTACTTTTAGCAGAGAGGTGTTTAAAATAGAAATAAAAAAACACAAGAGGATAGTTATAATAGATAGTTAGATAGTAGAGAATGTTATAATTACTAAATGTCTTCTGGGGCTGTAAATTTACAAAATTGTAGTCTAGAATTAATAAAAAAAAAAATGAAAGTTGTTAAAAAAGGGGGAAGTGAGGAAATGATTTTATCCTTCAAATTAAACTTTGATACAGGTGTTTGAAAAGAATATCTAGGCCTATTTAATTAATTAATGTTGTCAAATTATGTACTCAAAGTTTGCATTAGCACTATATAAAAAAAAACCTTGACACAACAGTAAGATATTAATTATAAGAGGGACATACTGTATTGGATTTTTTTTTAACTATTGAAAAATTTAATGCCATGCTAAAAAAAGTGCATTCCATGCTATTTCTTTACAGCCTCAAATAAAACCTAATAATTTATTAAATGACCATGAAATTATGCTACCATTCTTCCATCACATAAACAATGTTAACAATTATTCTGGGATTTTTTTTAGTCTTTAATTTATAATTAATATATTAAAAGAGTACATTCATTTAAAAATAAACATTTCAAAATATCGGGAATTGTGACTTACACTATGTATTTCTTATTTGTTTTGTTATTTTTACCTGGCCGATTAATAAAAAGCAGTACAATTGTATAAAATAGTGTCAACACCTGAGGTTTCGATAATTCGATCGCCTTTGGGCATGTTTAGCAGAAAGTCAATGCATGTTACTTGGGTATCAGTGTTACACATCACTGAACGTGCTGGTAAAAAAAATGAAATAATTTAAATCTATGTACTGCAAAAAAACCTTTGTTTCAATAAATGTATATAAATTTATTTCGGGATTAATTAATTTTGAACATAATCTGAGGATTCCATTCGTGTGATTTACAGATGTACACTCAACGTTTATATAATAAATTAAAACACTGAGTGTAATTGTTTTCTGTTACATAGAGAATCTACTGATAATTAAATTTGCAAGTCAGTGAAAATAATCATGACTTAAATATTATACACGGCAAAACTTCACAAAGAACTTTTCAAAAGCTCCAATTCTTAAGAAAAATGCATTCAGAGTAGAGTGTGGGAATCGGCCTTGCTCTATATTTATAAGATCTATTAAAAGGTAATTCTGGTAGAAAATAAGAAATCCACGGTTAATTTTCAATTAAAAAAAATAAATATGGAAACAAATCTCAATCATGGAAAATAAAGAAATTGATTTGTTTTGGTGAAAAATTAATATACCGCGTAATTGTTTTTTAATATTCATGTTATAAATAGGTATTAACGTTAACTGTCTTAAAAAATTATTATTTGTTTCTCTTCGCGTACTGTGATGACTGTCTTGTAAAAATTGTACACATTTTGTTGATACTACTCGGAAAAGAAATGCATCATCAATTTCAACTGCCTTTTATAGCTACATTGTTTATTGGTAATCTCATTTCTGGGTAAGCTCCGCCCATTAAATTAATAAACCCCGCCCAATGGGACTGCTGGGACTGCTTTCTGGGACCGCTGGGACTGCTGTGGGACTGTTCTGGGACCGCTGTGTGTCAGGTTGGGTCTGGTTGGTACTGTAATTATAATTATGATTTTATAATAGAACCACCTCTCTGCTCAATCATTTTGCTGTTTTCCATTATATAAAGATAGGCACTATTGGCTTTAGGCGGTTTCAGACGTAAATGTACATGTATATAACAAATCTATAGTTTCTTTAGTTAGTCAGGTCTTACGATCTATTATGTCATTTTTGAAAAAAAAAAACATCGTCACTTCAATTGCCCAACTGAGCTAAAAGTTTGTTTTGTCCAATGCAGAGCGATTGCATTGTTTGTGTCAAACCATTTTATGGTTTGAAATAGAGGAAATCGAATAAGGTGCAAATATACCGCAAAGAAATATATCTTTCTTGTTATAATTGGGTATGTAGCAGATTAAGGAGACTATCCTTGTTCAAAAACATGGTTCAGTAAAAATATATAAATAAATAAAATTGACTTAAAAAAAACGTTGAACTCATTTCCCAAACGTGAAAAATACCTATTTGGGGGGAAGGGGGGATGCTAGTCGATTCACTTCAATTCTTCACGTTTAACCCTTTTAACCTTTTCTACAAACAGTAATCCGCGTTTTCAATGGGGAAGGGGGAGTGCCAAAGTTTTTTTTATTTACTTCACTATAAATATTCAGTAACACTGCAAATTCCAGGTGAGGTCCGAACCTTCCCGACACCCCCATCCTAAATCCGAATATGAGCTCCACCTACACATTGAATTGGCTACGGATTTCTCATTCGGCCGATAAGGCAAAGAGCACACCGCGGGTGTGATCGGTCGACAGAGGATGATCCCTTCTTTGCCCCTGAACCAACATCTGATGTTGTTAGTGTTCAGTGTTTACTCTGCTCCAAATGTATACTGTTTCAATAGACTTTTGAACTTGAATGAGTTATCTTTTTATTTCATTAAAAATAGTTTCTTTCCGTCAGTAACGCTTTTTGTAAACTAGTTAAGTCAATTTTTTTCTCAAAAGTTGGAATTCTTGGTCATATTTGGTCTAACACCCTTTTGGAAAATTCATTTAACCACCCTTGAGATTAGATTCTTTAATTGCTTTATACCAAACTAATACATGTATATACTTACTTCTAACAAAAGGAACAACAATGGTTAAGGGGAGATCAAAAATGCAAAGTCAAGGAATAAAAACGAAGCAAGGAAAACAGAGACAAAAGGAAGGCAACACACAGAAAACTAAGTATAATTACTGTGAATTCAGCAATTATTGCGATGCTTTTATACTGCGAATAATGCAACGTAAGAATCTCAATAAATAAATTTGGCATTTGTATTTTTGTTACAACAGAGATTTATAATTCAGAGAATTAACTAATATGATATTTTCGAACAAGTCAAGATCATACACATTTAAGTGATTATGAGAAATGCCAAAACATTCTTGATCAAAAAGTACTCCTTTTCTTAAAGTTACATATTCTAAAAAGAGACAAATGATATCCAAAAATTAGAATTGTGTTCTTGTCACTTTAAATATTTAGATTTATTGAAGATTTCTGTTGTTTCTTTAGATTTTCCTAACCTATAACAACCTTTGTTTCCGATAACTAAAACCGAGATTTCCGATAACAAAGTGAACCATTCAACCGCATTTCCGATAACATCCTGAAAGTTAAAAAAGGGCTATTTTTACCCTTTAATTACATCTTTGCGAGATTCTGACGTTGTCATATTGTGGACAATAATTAATGTGAGGTAAATATGAGGATTTTGAAGAGAGGAGCTATATGCAGCAATGCCAATCGGCCAAAAACTTGCAAAATATGATAAATTTGACTTTTAAAGTCTTCCCAAGACTTACAAATACTATAATAAGATATAATGGGGCTTTATTTTGTATCTGTATATTCATTCTTGTTCACAAAAAGCACAATCAGCATTCTCTGTTTCTATTTTTACAGTGTTTATTTGCAACAATTTCCTAACCTGTCAAAATTTGTTATCCACCGAATGCCCGATAACAACCGAATAGCCGATAACGCGTTGAGCAGTGTGAGAATGATATGTTGTTTTTTGAAAAAGTGCTTTGACACCAGAAAAGAAAGTCAGCAATGAATACTCAGAAATATGTAAATTAATACTCTACATTATTTTGTTTTAATTACCTCACATTTGTCACTTTGTATATGCATGTTTTAATTGTGTTAATATGTTATTATTGTTCATGACTGTATGCCGACATGGTAATTGTCAATAAAGTGAATTGAATTGAATTAACTGCATGATTAATGCTGGGGTTGCGTGTTTGACTAATCCAGTCCAGCCATGAAGATTCAATTTGTATTTGTTCATGCATCCATGCCTGTCTACTGCATTTGATGCCTATTAACTACTTCTGGACTTGCAAGTAAAAGTTGTGCCCAAGGGTTAAAAGTGTGTGTCTTGGAGGGTGAAGGCGATTAAAGGAGGGAGAAATGTACACATAGTGGTTTGGGGTATATGCCATAAATATAAATATGAACTGTGATTGCTGACCTGGATAGGGGTTAGAGCATCTGATTAGTCATACAGGGGTCCAGAATTCCTGGCCCAGCCTTACATTTTGATTATGTATTTATAAATTTTCATATGTGTGTATAAATTTTTGGTTCATTTCTCCTCTAACACATTGTGTATGTCTCTTTTCTTTCTCCGCCATGTCAGCCTGGTATATTGCTGTGGAAAATAGCATTTCCCTTTATCTTTCCTGTGATACCTTTTTTTTAATTAATGAAATTAAAATATTTTGTGAACTTTACTTCTTGTTAACACCAGGGACCTATATATATAGGTCCCTGTTGACACTGTAATCCCAGCGAGATCCGTAGAAAATAAAAATTTTGGTCTGGTATCTCTACGGAGATCCGTAGAGATACCAGACCAAAATTTTTATTCTCTAGGGCCTACGGATCTCGCTGAGATTATTGACACTGCTGCCAGATCCCCCCCCCCCCTTCATTGCCGGCGAGTGCCTTAGTTTGGGTCGAAGTCACTTTTCTTTAAGTATTCCTCCTACAGATAGTTTTACACTGATTATGTTACTAACCTCTGCTAATGATTTGTTTTTTACTGCAGCAACTCCAACACCTCGTTTTCTCATCCTTTTCTAAAAATAGAGCGACATAAGCAGTAAACAAAAGAACCAAACATGAACACTCTTCAAAGACGGAATACTACAATGCTTTGAACAATGTATTTTTTAGCCCTTTAGTTGATATTTAATTAATACTTACTAAAGTCTACCAGTATCAAGTACCCCCCCCCCCACCCACCCCCCACCCCTAATAATAATAATAATATAAATAAAAAAACCATTAACTTCCCATTTTATCGTAATCATAAAATACTAAAAAAAATTATAACATTGGGCATTATTATTTTATTTTTCTTTTTTTCATGGTAATATGTTTGTAAGCCAAAAATATCAGAGCCATTAGGCCTAAAATATTTTTTAGAACAGATATCACAGAAGATCATCTTGCATTGTAACCATAATCTTAATTTACAATGTTTGTTTAAAAATAACTGCAAAGGATAGACGGGGTAATTTTTATATACATTACCTGACACCCCCCCCCCCCCCAAAAAAAAAAAAAAACCAAAACAAAAACAAAAAAAACAAAACAAAACAAAACAGAACAAAACAAAACACAGTTCTCATCAGAGATTTCGTAAAATTCATTAAAGAAATACAGAGCATGCTGGATAACGACATGGTGTTTTTAAACGTTAAATACATATACTTCACAAACTTAATTGTTACCAGCCCCCCCCCCCCTCCCCCATATTTAAGAACATTCAGAGAATCTTACGTGTAATGACCTCCAAATCAGCTTAATTTATACACTGGAAAATCACTAACTTATCAATATTCAGCATTTTTTTAAAAATTGAATTTAAATAAATGCATTCAAAATTATGATATTTCATTTTTTTCGAAAAACCAATAAAAAATTTTTGATTACCATCCATCCCACCAAGTGACCGGTTAACTGGTTAACGGTTGGAAATTTCCATCCCTTGGATTTATTTCCATAATTTTCTCTTTTTTTCTAAAAAGTCTAGATCTGACGTGTTCTTCTGGACATTTCTGACTCTTCTTGACATTTTATACGATATCAATAAATCATGAATCGATTAACAGCAAATTCTAGTTTTAAAGTGTCGTATTTTGAAACAAAATACCAAGGAGCAGCTAGAGAGGAAGATTTTCAAAGAATTAATGCATTTCACTATAGAATCAATAGAGCCCCGCTCAAACACAGGCCCCCTGACCCAGGGGCCATGAAATTCAGGATAACTATGCACTTTGTTTGTTTGCTTAATACCCAGGACCAGAGATGAAGATTTTCAAAGAAATAATGCACTTTCACTATATTATCATATAGATCCCCACCAAAACTTCCTCCGCAGAACCCCCGACCCCTGGGCCACAAACCATTTTAGAAGAGGTCTCCTTGATCATCATGACCATGCATCTAGTTCTTCTGCTTTACATGTAAAAACAGAGGGAGAGAGGGATTTTAAAAGAATTTATACATTTTCACTAATATGATCATAAGAGCCCCATCCTAACTCCAGAATCTTTGATGCTGGGGCCATGAATTTCACAATTTTGGTAGAGGGATCAATGCCTATTACAATCATGCCAACAGTTTAAAAGCTTGATGTTCAAGAATACTTTTGAAGATAACACTAATTTAGATGGTTTTAGCCCCACCCCTTTAGCCCCAGGGGGCAGGGACCATTAAAATCATAATTTTTGTACTTAGCTTTTTATCCATTAATGCTATATATGTATACCAAAAATTTTTGAAATTGGTTCAGTGGTTCAAGAGAAGAAGATGAAAATGTTCAATAGTTTACAATATCAACAAATGACACACATCGCATGATGACAGATGAAAACAGATAGCAATAGGTCACCTGAGTGACTCAGGTGACTTAAAAAAAAGAAAGGATGCTAAAACCATATAATAAAAAAAGTTCTTTTAAAGATCCAGTAAAAAGTGTGGTATTTCTCCCTAAAATGTTTGGTTGAAACTTCATGAATTAAAATATTTTTTAAGATATCATACTATAATTCAACATTTGTGAGGTAAAAACACTCATTTTACACTGGGCCAAAATATGGGGTCAGAATTTCTCAGGAATTAATTAATAAAAGGAAAAAAAGAAATTAAATTATTTAACACTGCAAAGTGCAACACCCTTTATCTAAGGACACTCTTTGGATGAATGGATGAAGTTTGTGCCAGATGGAACCAATGAGCGAAAAAAAAATGCTCAAGAAAAAGAGTTTTACAGAAATTTGCTATAACCTTGACCACTAACCCAGACGCTTGGCTCAATAACACTGCAAAGTATACTCTCCACTCATTATTTGACAGACTACACCTCAAATAATACAACATATATGCTGTAAGCCAGGCTAGCTTAGTGGGAGCAGCTGGCGTTTATTTTGATAACGATACATAACTATCTGACATACATTACACTGTATGTGAAAAAAACAAAGTACTGCAATATATTTGTAAACTACGTTAATGTTATTTATTATACCCCTATCACAGACATTAAAAACCGCCCAGGAAAAAACCATAGACGGATAACTATGGAAAACCTGTGTCCGTCGCTATGTAAATAATGTCTCAAGGGTGAATGCCGGACGTGCATTCGTTGCAGTACTTAAAATGATAAACACTATACAATATGTACATGTACGGTGAAACAAAAATTAAAATATGTTACCTTTCTTACTGGTATATTTATATATATATGATGTATATTATATATAAAAAAAAATATATATATATATAATATATATAAAACACGTGTGGTTCCGAGGAGCACTGGCTTAGAATGACCCAAACACCTTACTGAATACTGCCTTCTCATTGGCCTTCCTTTGGCCACGCCTACCATAGACAAGTAATTCCAATAAAACACGTTCCTATCATACAATGTTTTCCCGCTATTCTTCGAAACGCGGGAAAACACTAGTATACTCTCCACTCATTATTTGACAGACTACACCTCAAATAATACAACACATATGCTGTAAGCCAGGCTAGCTTAGAATATCAAGTTCAAAAGTTAGTGAATGAAAAAAGATCACCTGCAAAGTTTATAAATTAAACTGATTAATATATATATATATATATATATATATATATATATATATATATATATATATATATATATATATATATATATATATATATATATATATATATATATATATATTTATAACTAAACTAATCACTGTTTAAATATTTGAAAAATGTAGATAATGTTATAGCCCTAAATTTTTAGAAACTGACAATCTACTGTCCAAACTGTCTTTAACATAGCCGTCCTTTGCCGAATCCGACGCCCAACGTCCGTGCTTTTTCCAACACCTGTCATTGATGTTCGAATTGGCCGCTGCCGTGGCGCCGCCTGCACGCAAAGAATGAATGCCAATGTTAACATCGCCCATAACAGACTTAAGCTTTGATAAAATACACTCTCTTGCTCGAGTATAGCTAAGTTTTTTGTTTTTGTAAACAAGTTTAACTTTGCCTTTAGAATTGAATACAGGTTTGAACAAGAAATGATCTGAAGATTTTTTAATGCCTCCCAACTCGTAATATCGTAATAGCATTTTGACAGGACAAGCTGATGTAGATCCACAAGCTATCACTATTTCATTCCCTTGTCTGTACTGGTCGGTTTTACTTTTTCGTATGAATACTTTTATGTAATTATCCACAAAAACTACGTCAGAGCAAGTTAATGAACTGAGCTCATCGAATCTTAAAAATCCTGCGAATGATAATAAAATCATGGAAATATCCCTCACATCTGCAAGATTGGTACTATTGGAATGAAGGTTACACAAAGTTATTAAATCCTTAACAGAGACTGCATCCTTTTTTACTACTTTGCATTTGTTGTTACGTCTGGAACTCTCCAAAAGATTTTTCACAAATGAATGGTCGGTAGGATCCGAGTATCCCAGTATGGAATGTGCCCACTTGATGGCATAAACTGCACTTGAAACCACATGAAATGAACATCCGATGTTTAAAAGATGAGTTAGATACAACGAAATGTGCACAGAATTAGCAGGAATAGACCGCTTTTTCCTGTTAGATATAAACCTACTCCACCTATTGAAAGCTGACATGTATTTTTTACTCGTATTTACACTTTTTGATTTCAGTAGAAAATCACACAGTTTCCTCGCTAGAATGGCATTTTCTGCATCTTCTAAATCCACCCCCGCTGCTTTCACCACCTCTTCTATGGTCTTGTCCAGGCTTAGGTCTGCAAAAAACAAACGCCATGTATAAAACGAATGTATACTAAAACTGTAATCTAAGGATGACCATATCGAATATCTTGTGCCCACCAAAAATACCATTGTCCCCTTTTCCCTTTTGAGTTATTGAAGATGTTACATGTTTAATTTCTTTCACAAAATATTGCCACTTGTCTCCCTTTTTTAGAAGTGGCCAATAAGGTGCAGACTTCCAGACTGGAACTATTAAAGTACCCTTTCCTCTATCTGATTTTAACTTAAGTACGGTTTTACTGATGAGTCTGGGTGGGGGCACTAACCAATTATTATGTTCACCCCAACCTTGTCTAAATGCATTAACTCCACTGGTGCCTGGACACCACCACCTTGAATTAAATGTTTTACATTTTGTGTTATAATCAGTAGCAAACCTATCACACGTATGGGGACCCCAGCTTCTGTCAATGTTTTCAAACACATGTGATTTAATTCCCCAATCATCGCTATCAAAGCACCTACTCAAAGCGTCAGCTCTTGTGCTCTTTTCTCTTGGTACCCAAATGCTATTTATAAGCACGTTTTCTGTGGCAAAATTACCACGTATCTGTTTTGCAATCCTATGTAAATATGGCTTTTTACTGCCCACCTCTAAAATTCTACATACATTTTTATTATCATGTACCAATTGACTTGTCTATCCTGAATACTTTCTCCTATAGTATTCAGTGATCTATTTATGGTTTCCAGTTCTCTCCAAGTAGAGCTCTGACAAGATTCCTGACTTGTCCACGTACCAAACGTTTCTGAATCATTGATTCCCTATATAAAAGCACCGAACCCTGAATCAGATG